AAATTTTTCAATTTTATATCAGAAGCCGTGCGGCGAAACACATACACAAAATCAGCTGAGCTAGTAACACCACCTTATATAAATTCGCCTTGAGCAAAAACAAAATACAAGGAAGGCGAAGAAATCAGCTGATCATACTGTTACGATTATCCTTGAAACCTCGTCCGGATTTCCCAAATCTCTCGGTTCGTATCGCTGGATGGTTAAATAAAGGCTAACGATGACCAAATAGTAGTACAATTAACTTTATTGTACAACAAACAATTTTACAATACTTGCTAATACAGTAAAAACACTACAATACTTGTTAAAGAAATTACAACGCTTTACTGAACTTGTTAACACAATTAAACTTATAGCTTGCTTATTCGCAACTCGCTTCTCTGCTCACTTTACTTGTAGCTTGCTCACTTGTCACTCACTCACCTCGCTATGGCGGCGCCCTTATATACCTGCGCTGCCACTTATGGCAACCCTAGAACATTCTGAAGTTTATCGCTCATTCTCTTTCTCTCGCTGTTCGCGGTGTTCATCCAACTTGACGTTTCTCTTTGTGGAACATTCTACGTCGTTCCTCGAACATTCTGCCTATTTCTCGTTGTTCGCTTTGTGTTGCCGCAGTATTCGCCACAATAGAACACCACCTTCAAGGCGAATTTATACAAGGTGGTGTTCGCGGTACTTCCCAGTGTCAAAATGATGTGTTTGTTGTAAACAAGGCGAATTCATATAACAACAAACACATCATTTTGACATTAAGAAGTACCGCGGCGAAAATTTAAATTCGCCATCAACACCACCTTGTATAAATCCGCCTTGACCACCTTGTACAAATTCGCCTTGAGGAGTTGTTTGTTATCATGGTGAAATGAACTGAAGGTGGCGCATTCCCAAAACCGCTACTTTGGTTTTCCCGACTTTGACATTTATGGCAATACGTAAACAAACTTTTTGTTTAGAAACAAGTGCAAACGTATTGCAAACGTATTGTGTACTTTCAAGTGAAAAATCGAAGTAACTCGTGCGTTCTGAAGTAAACAACGTTTTATTTGTAATAAAAACTTTATAAAAATGTCGTGTCGTGTGTTGAATTGCAGCAGTCGTGGAGGTAAAGCCCCAAATGCAGTTTTTTTTTGTTTCCCCGCGACGACGCCTTGGCCAGAAAGTGGGTAGAGTTCTGCCGGCAGGAGAAGCCATAAAATTTAGACACCAGCGTAATATGCATGAAGCACTTTACGGACCAGTTTTAAACACGACATGTTAAATTGAAAACGTTGAAATACCACAAATTACAAATTAAAATCGGAGGTAAGCAAGCATCGACCACTTTCTGCAGGAAAACATGCGCTGCGACAAGATATTATCACTTTTTCGGCACCTGCAATACAAACACAAAAATTATTAATAGTTAATTAATAAGACCTATTCTTTTGAACACATTTCAACAGTGGTTGTATATTTTTTGTTAACGTTGTGCTTAATTTGCTATATTCAAAGATGGCTTGAGAAATTGGTGAATCGAGAAGAAAACATGTTTTCTCACTGCAAATTCACAACTGTCAACTCATTGTTCTTCGCCATATTCTTTGTTTACCCGTTGCCACAAATGTCATTCTGCGGGAATGCGCAATCTTGTATTCTATCGTTCTTGGGTTGATGGCGAATCTAGGTTTTTGGCGCCAATGTCAAAATGATGTGTTTGTTGTAAACAAGGCGAATTCCTATTACAACAAACACCATGACCCAACTACACAAGATCTGACAAGATGAAGCAAAAGAAAAAAGTAATTTTCTGGCTGACGTTTGTAATTTCAGCGCCATGTTATTTTCTGTGAAAAGTAAACAAAGAATATGAAGACGAAGCATAAAGAAAAAATGCAAGCAATGTTGTGCACATGTTTGTGCTAACCAATTTATTATTTTTGTACGTGTTTTTGCATCCAATCACCGCGCACTTCATTTTAATTGCATTTGCACAAAAAATCACTGAAATAAAGCACCGACAAAATACACGTAAAGAAAGCAAAACAGAAATAGCAAACCTCAAAATTACGAACGTTACACACTTTTCTCTCAATTGCTATTACAAATGGCTGCTTCTCAACCGGTCAGATCTGTTCTAATTGGTTCATGAACAAACACATAATTTTGACATTAATAAGTAATAGGCTGTTTTTGCTTACGCGTAAAAGCACATTTAGCGCATTTAGCTCTAAATGTACATTTATCCATACAAAATTCGTCACCTAAATGCAACTAAATGCAACTCCATTTTTGCATTAAGAATCTAAATGCTAAAAGCAACCCTGTGATCTTCCAAAATTCCCACGATTCGAACATGGTTTAAAGAGAAAAAGTGGCAACATTGCTTTTTCGAGTATACCGCAGAACTCCACAGGCGAACAGCGATGGCCTACCAACTGTCATTTTGACGAGCAATGTGATTGCAAGTTTTTGTGTGTGGGCACTTTGATGTCTTGAAATAAGCATTTGCCGCATGACGCCACCAGACAACATTCTCTCAATTTCGATGTTTAAAAACATTTAAATCTTTAAAAAACTTGCTGAATAATTTCCTAAAACGTAATCATAAATAATCCAATAAGGAGCAGACTTTTATTTTGATTTAATATAAAAATTTCATCGATGTTACCACCAGCACGCTTTCTTTCAAATGAAAATATGGCTGTCAAACTATCGAATTGCCTGCAATAGATGTCAAGCAATAAGCGCTGACATATATTGCAGCACATGAGAAATAGGCGGTCTCCATTGGAAATATATTTTGTGACATAGTTTTCACGACATCAGTGTTTTCCTGTGGAGACAGGGCCATACAGTTGCTAGCTACGTTTCAGTGATCGCCGATCGAGATTTCTTTTATTTTGCATTACATATTTGGATAAAGAAAAGTTAAGCAAATTCAACATCGATGTGATGCTGATAGAAATCTGGATCAATTTGTGATCAACTCGGTTCGTTTTGTTTCCTAATTAAGTGAGAAAATTTTAATTGACAGCACCGACAAATGAATATATACACAAACAAATTTTCGGTTATGGTTAAAACAATACAAGTTTTTGTATTGAATTTTTGGTTTAAAATTTATTGTTTCCTTTTCAGTAGGGTTTTTGCACATTATCTCCTGCGTGAGAATTGATCGTAATATATACGCATCTAAATATGAGACTGGAACACGGCTGTTTGTCAAAAGCATACGATTTCGAACTCGCGTAAATGTACATTTGCTAAATGCTATAGCATGAACGCTCTTCGAAAACATATGTTCGAAAGTGCTAAATGTTGCATTTTTAATGTAGCAAAAACGCTGCATTACGCGGGGAAAATCTAAATTCGCGATCAACACCACCTTGTATTAATTCGCCTTGAGGTGGTGTTACTGGCGAATTTAGATTTTCGCGCGGTACTTATTAGGTGCGTTCGTTTAAATCTCCAGTAAAACCAACCAACTGCCAAATTCCGGCGAAATGCCATCTGTTCTCTCACAAGAGAGAAATATCCCAAATAGTACGCGAACAGAAAATTTGCAGAAACTTGCAAGTTAGACGAACAGCTGATATAATTTTTGTTTACATTCAAAAGTGTAAAATTTAAAACGTACGAAAACTCATCACAAAGTGTTATACTGACACAGTTTACTGATTAAACAAATAACTACTTACTTCTTACAAGTTTAATTAGACGCATTTTGTCATTTTTAACTTCCAAACCATCAAAATAAATTTTGTGATTTACGTAAATGTCAACCAGCTGTTTTTGATCAGCTGTTTTTGATCAGCTGTTTTGCTGTTGGCAAAATTTTTTTTTCAGCAGAAGCCATCAGCTCCCCTCAAAATGAAATGTCACTTTGCTCTCTCAATTTCCCCTACTTTGCAAGTTTTTTTGCGTACGCGAACGCAAAAACTTGTAAGTTTTGGTTAAACATGAACAATTAACAGCTACGCGAACGCAACTAATGTCAAAATAAAGGCGAATTTATACAAGGTGGTAACAGAACAAAAACAAAAATTACAACAACAAATTATACACTCCTTGACAATCAGTACAAAGCCAAATTACAACAAACACATGATTTTGACAAAAGGTACAAATTCGCCGTGAAATCAGCGGATCCGATAACACCACCTTGTATAGATTCGCCTTGATACATGGTGCTGTTGCTGGCGAATTTAGATTAAAACAACGACAACCACATGTATTTTTTTTATTGCGGGTGTTATGTCAAATCTCAATTCGCTCCAAAGTTTACATGTATTTGTTAATTTTAGCTGAATCGTTTTAGCCGTCTTTTTGCCAATTTACACGTCGCCGCAAAAGTTCTGGCAGCACTGCATGTTTGTGTAATTTGACATTTTAACGTATTGAAGTTGGCTGCTGATGTGCCGCAACCTTTCTTTCCGGTTGTCAAAAAGGTACGGAATGAATGAAATTTTTTGTAGCAGCAAATAAAGATTTTGTATTCGATTTAATGGCTTACATCCGACTAACAATACGTTTTTTGTTTTCTTATTTCAGTGCAGACACGACACAAGTAGTTAAAAATGGCTGACGTTGATGTGTAAGTTGAGTTCTGCGTGTTTATTAATCAACTAAAAATCGGTGGTGCAGAAATACAGTAAAACAGTAGGCCACATAATGGACAATGTTTCTCCTATATAATAAACATTCATATTCACATAAACATTTCACATATTATTAGCTACTGTTATTCATGGATTTTTCCTTTCATATATCGACCTTTACGCTCATTTCAACTTAATCGTGACAGTGATGTGCCCTCCGCCGCGCCAGTAATTGGCGACAAAATGGACATCAATACCGCGCTGCAAGAGGTGCTGAAGAAGTCTCTCATTGCTGATGGCTTGGTTCATGGCATTCACCAAGCGTGCAAAGCTTTGGACAAGTAAGCTATCGTGAATGTTTTTGTTTTTTCTTACCTTGAATTTAACTTTAATTTCTCTGTTTATTTCTTAGGCGCCAAGCTGTTTTGTGCATCCTCGCCGATTCGATGGACGTTGATTTATACAAGAAACTCGTTACTGCACTCTGCCATGAACATCAAATCCCACTTATCCGTGTAGATTCACACAAGAAATTGGGTGAATGGTCTGGGCTATGCAAAATCGACAAAGAGGGCAAGCCACGTAAGGTCAGCGGATGCGCTGTTGTGGTTATCAAGGATTTCGGTGAGGAGACTCCTGCTTTGGATGTTGTGAAAGAACATCTGCGTCAAAATAGCTAAACGCGCTGTGTGTGTTTAGTTCTGAATAACTTTCAACAAATATAGTGATTTGTGATGTTAGAGGATCACAAAAAATTAAAAACCGTGTGTTTTTGAGCAAAAAATCTTTTATAAATAAAAAGTTTAAACCAGATACATAAATATTGAAGTGCAGTGAATATATGACGAAAATGATATGAATTTGCAGAAGTGATAACTCGGAGGTGTTGTGTGGTATGCTTTAAGCTTTAATGCAGTTGACTTTGTGCTGCGGCCAGTCGTCCAGTTGACATTTTCTGCAAAAAATGTGTTATAGTTATTCAATTGTATAAAAGCAAAAACTCAAATCACTGACCTTGAACAGTAATAAGTAGTTTTGCAGTTGGCGCACTTCTTCACTGCATTAGAAGCACATTTGCCGCATTTTTTTCTACCAGCCTCATCTTTACCCGTTTCCACAGTTTCAGAAGTTTTTTCTGCTCTTGCAGCCGTCTCCTCGAGCTCGGCCAGCAGATCTGTATTGTATGCCGTATTCAAACGCTTGGCTATTTCACATATTTTATCTTTATCAGTACACAGAAATATTTCCTCTTGCTTTTGAGCGACAACAGGAAAACCACCAATACGTTCACACTCAGCTATAAGCTTTTCGCGTATTTCTGGTAATTCTTCGAGAAGCAAGTTGGATTTTTGTTTCCGATTCTCATTACCGTTGCCGGCGACGCCCAAAAGGCAAAGGTATTGCTTTAACTCAACTAAAGGTGGAAGTTGATCGAGTATTGTCTCCAGCAACAGCCCTTGGCACTGAAAAAGTTCTCAAATTGATTTACGTAAAAACGGTGGCAGAAGAAAAAAATGCTACTTTTTTAATATGTGTTCATGTTAAATGTGCGTACACAACATACTCTAAATTAGCTATAAAATTAAGATATTTTACTTTAGACAGATGCTTTCGACGTTCTTCGTTTAACTCATACGATGTCATCAAAGAATTATTAAAGAGCAATTCTCGCATGCAAAACCAGCTTTGCGCTTCTTGTTTGGACACTTTGTTTAAGTCATCACCTTGCACCAATAACCACTTTTCATCTGTGAACACATAATACTATAATTCCTGGCAATGGAAGTGAGTAATGGTAAGCTTGTGTAGATATATGTATAAATGTATACCAATATAACGTTGCAGTCCTTTATTTGTACGTCGCTGCCAAGGACGAAATTGCAGTAAGTCTGCTATTAGCCAAGGTACATCGTGCGTTACCACCATGCGACGTGAGGCACTCAACGGTATTGAATCCGCATGCTCTGCCAGGTAGCTAAGTATAGAAATGCAACGCATGCCAATCTTATAAATTAAATCGCGTTTTTGACGCTCTAACTCGGATAAAACAGCTTCATCTACATCAACTTTTGATTGATTTTCATGATAACCCATGCTATTACATATAAGATAAAAATGTATATACTGATTAAGTATAATAATTGCTATGAAACAGTACGACTTTCGAACCTTACTAAACCAATCACTTGTGCAACAGCCAAAGCGCAGTAGTCTACCAAATCAATAGCTGCATCCTGCAGTGCCTCACATGCGCTCACATGGAAAAGTGTGGTGTCTAATAAGGAAATAACGGCAGCTTCGTGAAAAAGCACTGTATAGATGAGAAAAGTAGCCTGAGGATTGGGATCGATTTCCAGCAGGTGTGGTAGCACACGCGTCTTCCATAAAAAAATGCTATAAGCTTCGTGTATAAGCACCTGAAAATCAGAAATGTGAAGATAGTGTTGCGCTTTTATAGCATGTACCTTCAACTTGTCCCGGGATATGAGAAATTCTTTCACTTCTTCTTCACGATGTTCGGCTGCTTCGAGTATAGCTTGCTGGCTTAATTTTATAATCATTTCGTGAACGTCCACCCACTTCGTGCTCCCTATGTCGACCAATTGAAATGGGCGAATGCTTTCGATGAAATAAGATAATTCCTCAGGTAAAACAAAATTGGACATCATTTATGCTCGACTTATATTTCTTTACAAACGCCGTTTTCTCTTTATGAAATATAACTGAAATTTTGTGAAATTTCTTTTTCGGTGTTTGATCGATTTGATATGATGGTTCAAACAAGGTTGCTAGGATGAAACATATCGTCGATGTTTTTGCAAGACCGCCCATCAACCAGCTGCAAAACCGCGTAAATCGCCGTTGTGGCAACCCGTTGGTAACCCTGAATTCCATGCATCGAGATTTATGCATAAAAATCGTTAAATCGTTATTAAAACAACAGATTTGTAAAATAATAGCTAGAGAAAATACCGCCTATCAAGGCAATGCCTTCAAAGAATAAACCTTTTTTTCGCTCCTGTAAAATTTGAGTGCCGTAAGATAGGCGGTTTTGCAATTGGGCGATGGACGGTTTTGCAAAAGCATCGACGAAATGTATTTGTACATATATACAGTGAATCAATATGAAAACTGGGACGCGACATTTTAGCAAGTTTTGGCAATTTTTCTTAAGTTTTAATTTTTATTTTTATTTTTTTTTGAGTGTACCTGTTTTCTTAAGAAACACCACATATCGTCACCTGAAATGCAAAAAGAAATAACAAACTTCGTCGCTGAAATACAAAACGTCGTAACTAGTAAAAAATTCAAAATTCACCAAATTTGTTTTAATCAGCATCTTTAGAAAGAATTCTGGTATATATGTATGCAGATTTGTAGTAGATTAAATTTGAGTATAATATGGTGCAATTTGAAGTAGCTGGGGCTTACCGTTGGTTTTTCGCAATTTTTTTTTGAGTGTTACGTTTTTTTCCCATACAGATTATGTTAAACAATTTTTGTTATGTAAACAGCTATACTTTCATAAAGAAATATTAAACATTAAATAATATGGGCAATATAAACATTAAATAATATGGCAATAATAATATGCGTTCCCACGACAGTCGGGTCTACGTAACCGGAACGACCCAGATTTATATCTGGCCAAGGACTGTCACTCCAGCAACACTCCCCAAAAAGTCTTTGGGGAATTTGTATGCTGCTACAACAACAACAACATTAAATAATATGTACAGTGCCGGACAAAAGTATTGGCACAGAGAATTTTTCGCAATATATGCAAAGATCTTTATTCTAATTTATTTTCAATATTTTTTAATAAAAATATAGTTCGTACTTCACCAAAAAACATAAAAACAAAATCTCTAAACTATGTGCAATACTCAGGAAAATTCAATAAATTTGCATACTAATTTGCAACTTCTTATTCAGATTTTTTAGAGAAATTCCAAGTATGTAGTTTATATATATAATTTTAGTATAACAAAGTGCAAGTTTGAAGTATCTAAAAAATTGCGTTGATTTTTGGACATTTTTTAGTAGAAGGTGTTGCTCATTTTATCCATACAAAAAATAATTGTCGAACATACTTTGTACGGAAGAACCTGACTGAAAAAAATTGCCAAAAATCAATGCGATTTTTTAGGACCTCAAGCTTGCACTTTGTTATACTAAAATTAGTTGAGCTATAAAACTGCATACTTAGAATTTTTATAAAAAAACTGAATAGAAAGTTGCAAATAAGTATGCAAATTTATTGAATTTTCCTGAGTTTTGCACAAAATTTAGAGATTTAGTTTTTAAGTTTTTTTGGTGTAGGACGAACTATATATTTGTAAAAAATTATCGAAAATAAATTAGAATAAAAAACTGTTCAGATGTTGCGAAAAATTCTCTGTGCCAATACTTTTATCCGGCACTGTATGTATCTCAACGAGCGGAAGTTCGCTTTACTGAACGGACCAAATATAGAAGTGCTAACAGTGTAGATGATACGGATTTCCGCGGGAGAGGTCTATCACTTCGTCATGCATGTTTAATAAAACAACAAGAATGCTTTTACCATTACATACATATGTTTACTATATTGCAATCAAGGATTCGCTCTTATTTTGTATTCATTTTGCACATTGCCATATACATTCCATAATGCGTATTTAATACAATACTACTAATTGTTTGTAGTCAAATTGCGAAAAACATAAAACATATATGTACATACATATATACGAATAATCATAAAACAACGGATTTAAAATAAGGTAAATATAATTTTCATATTACGAATAATTAATTAGCAAATGTTTGTTGGATTGCTTGCATATGTGACACTGATGTTGGGGGGACACTTGCCGGGGGTGCCGCAGCCGATGCTTGCTGTGCGTACATTTGTGGCGGCATAGGTGTTGGCTGTGTCGGATAAAGTCCACTTGTTGGTTGCACTTGCGGATAAGTGGGTACCGTTTGCGCAGCTGGATACGACAGTGCTACTGGTGCGGTCATGTATTGCTGTTGTTGCGATGCCATTGAATACATTGGTACCGTAGCCGCAGTGGAAACAAATTGTGGTGGTAATGTGACCTGTGGATATGGCAACTGAGTAGCTCCTGTGGCTGTGGTATTACCAGAGACGCTAGCAGACGATGTCGGTTGTTGATCATTAGAGCCGGGAATAAACAAATTACTGGGTGGTGGTATATTTGGAACATAGAACTGAGATGGTTGCGATATACTTGGGCCAGCAGCTGGAAACAAGGCACCTGTTGTGGCGGTGTTGACCGATGTGTTAACTTCGGTACCCTTTTGATCCGTGGTTGCTCCAATTTGGTTGATTATAGGATTTACTGTCGCAGCTGTTATATCAAAACTGCTACTACCCGCTATACTTGCTGCTTCAGGATTGAAGTATGTTTGAAAAACGCTCGGTTGCTGTGAAGTAGTTGCCGGCGGAACTCCAGCTGCGGATTCCGTTGATCCTTCATTTGACAAAGAATTTCGCGATTGTTTAAAAGTGTTCGTCAAAGGAGGGACGTAAGGCAGTGTTGGTGTGATCAGTGGTGTTGAGGCTGCCGACGTTGGTATGGTGCTTGTTGCAATTGGTGCTGTGTTTACTGGTTCGATTGTGGTTGGTGCCTTTGCGACCGATGTCACTGCCTGTACTGGTATACGATGTAAGTAACCATAACCAATGCCGCAACCCAATGCACCCTCGCCGCCCCAATTAGAATTAGGTTTAATAGTGACTTCACGGCAGGCATCGTCATCAATATTGTATACGTACATTTTCAGTGGTTGATTTTCGTGTGTTTCAATTAAAGTAAATAGGTCATCGTTTTCATGACGTATAGCATCTGCACCAATAACATAATCCGAATATGCACGTAATCCTGCGATTTCAGCCGGTGAATTGGGATGTACTTCAAGAATGTGCCAGACGTTTTCATTCGCACCCTCGAACGAACAAAAGCGTATACTGACACCCAGCAGACCTTGACCACCCCATGTTTTACTTGGAGTTAACATCAACTCACGCACAGTTTGGGTCTTGCTAGAGTATACCGTTAGTCTTACAGGCTTATCAACATTCTGACGTAGTAACTCTTTCAACATGTCGTTATCCTGATCAAGACGAGTGCCAGCAATGGCAACAATAAAATCAAAAAAAGCTTCCAAACCTGCCTTTTGGCCAGGAGAATTATCTTGCACTTTTAGTACGTGGTATCCTTCGGTGCCACCTCCCGGTACCTCTATACTATGGCTTGAACCCATTTCTGTCTATAGAGCAGAACGAATAGATTTGTTTTTCTAATTAGTTCACAGAGTTATCCAGCAGAACGCGTATGAAATGTTTATGGGGTTTAAAAATTATTAGTTCGCCTTTAAAATTAGTTTTTCCAACTTTTCCCTACTTTGTTGGGAAGTCTTTGCGTGGCACAATCAAAAAATAATCCAAGATTCTATTTTTTCCCCTACTTGTCAAAATGTAAGAAACCTGCCATATTGTTTAGAAATCCTTAAATTATATTTTTCAGTGGATGTGGATTTTGAATTACAAAAGTAATAAAACTTTATCTTTCTAAAATGGCATAAATTTATACGTATTTTCTGTTTGTTAATAATAGATTGCAAAATGTTAGACATCAAAAGGAGCAACTTTAATTTTATTTTGTTAGCTAGATTTATTTTTATATTTCAATGGCAGCTTCAATTTCAGATTGTCACCTTCGAAATGACGTGTTCGCCTTCAAAAAAGATGAGCAAAGATCATTACCCATACATACATATTTACATCATACCTACTAAAATTGGTCTCATTGGTTCCTGATGAATATTTTTAGGCTTTAAAACATCCTCCGTATGCGTCGGAAGACATATTTATTTTGATATCGACCCCATATCAAATCAAGCAATGGATTCGACAACTGCTACGACATTCGGGTCTACATATGTAACTGGAACGACCCCGATTTATATCTGGCCAAGGACTGTCACTCTAGCTACACTCCCTAAAAACTCTTTGGGGAATTTGTATGCTGTTACAACAACAACTGCCTTGGAAATCACCAAATACTGTTCAGCTAGTTTTACCAGCATATAAAACATAAGTCGATTTAATGAAGTTTTTTTTATTAAATTAAATGCTTAAATTAATTACGAGCAAAAACACCGACACTACTTGATGAACGGTAAACCCTATCGTTGGAGTCATTAGCTTTGGAAGTCGAGAGAAGCGCTCCATACATGTCTACTTCATTGCGGCGGCTACCTGATATTGTTGTTGTAGTTTTTGCACAGTTTCACGGTGTTTTGTCATATCTTTTTCCATATTTTCCAGTGTATCATTTGAGCTTTTCAATTCTTTTGAAATATACTCTATACGTTTGCCTACATTCTGACGCGAATCCTCCAGATCTTGCTTAACAAGCACAGGACCGTATAGCTTGTAAACTTTATTATCTGGACCAAGAAGGTTTAGTTCGTCAAGCACGCATTTGTTTTCATTCAGCTGGGATTCCAGCAGCGTACGCTGTTTTACTAGTTTTACGCAGGCTGAATAAGAATTTCACATTTTAATAGTATAATTTAAAAAAAATTGCTAGATTTTAGCATGCACATATTTAGATACCACAAACCGCCAGGAATGTGTCATATCAAGTAACCGGCGTAAACTTACTTTTTTGCAAATTTTGGTACGCCTCCAGCTCAGACTGCAATTTCTTTACCAATGCCGCGCTGTTTTTATCCATTTTTTCAACAAACTGTAATTTATTGTTTTTAATTTATATTTTTTAAAACAGTTGGTGAATGCAAAAATGCAGAACTCGCAGAACCACACACGAGTCTTAAGCGCAGCGAATTCACGCAATGACAACCAAGGCGAATTCAGATGACAACCAAATCAAGGCGAATTAATTGACAACTATTTCAAGTGCAAAGCTGCCAGTTTCATTCAATAAAAATTATTTAGTTAATAACAAACAACATAAATCTAGATTATTTTTTACTCTGCACACAATTTTTTAAAATAATTTGCACCAAAATATTAATCTAGCTAGAACTGAAAGTTTATATAAAAGTACATCCATTTAATTAATTTTCAGTTTCATAAACTAATTGTGAACGTCCTCTTAAGCGAAGAAGCAGCGTCGTTGAAGAGGAAGAATTTGTACGCCTTGTGTGAAAATTTCGCGCCGATACAGAGGATGTACAATAAGAGACTGTGAAAAACTATAGCTTATGAAGAAAATTATATTTTCGCAGGGAATTAGCAGTTTAATATAGTTTTTTATGGAAATAAGTGAAATAACCGCAGTAAAGAAGTAAAACAAGGCTGTACTTTGTTGCGTGAATTGGCGTCCTCTGCTCCGATAAGCGGAGCGTCAAAACCAGCGAGACAGTGAAGCAGCAGAAAATTGAACAAATTGTGATCCAACGTACTAGCCGTACTCATATTACTTAAGTCCACAGTGCAAATTCAGCGAAAATTAACACACGGAGAATGGCTCCGGCGAAAAAACGCGAAAAAGATACTGCATTAGCAGCGCCGGCAGCTGCTGTAAGCAATGGGGCTAACGGAAGTGTTAACGCTGGTAATGGGGGTGGAGCGGTTGCGGCAACAGCTGCTGTTGCAACTGCAGTCGCTACAAATACTGNGGCGTCCTCTGCTCCGATAAGCGGAGCGTCAAAACCAGCGAGACAGTGAAGCAGCAGAAAATTGAACAAATTGTGATCCAACGTACTAGCCGTACTCATATTACTTAAGTCCACAGTGCAAATTCAGCGAAAATTAACACACGGAGAATGGCTCCGGCGAAAAAACGCGAAAAAGATACTGCATTAGCAGCGCCGGCAGCTGCTGTAAGCAATGGTGCTAACGGAAGTGTTAACGCTGGTAATGGGGGTGGAGCGGTTGCGGCAACAGCTGCTGTTGCAACTGCAGTCGCTACAAATACTGCAACAACGGGCATTGATAATGCAAAACTCAATGGCCATCAACAAGAGCAGGAACTCTTTCTGCAGGCTTTTGAAAGTATGTTAAAAAGTGTGAAATATTTAGTACATATGTAGATAATTTTAAATTTAATAATTTTATTATTTTAGAACCTACACAGATCTATCGGTTTTTACGCAATCGTCATGGAACAAGTGTAAGTATAACTTAATGGTGGATTTTCTTTTTTAATGAATTTATATTTTTTTAGCCAATTTTCTTGAATCGAACACTGAGTTATATGAAGGACCGCATGTCGCGAAACAATAAAAAGCGTGCGACGTTCAAAGTCAACTCCATATTGCAGCAAATAACACAAAAAACTGAATCGATATCAAATAAATACTTGAATATCATCTACAATGGTTTGTTTGATAAGAGTGCTTGCAGCGATCAATGGTGGAATACGGGCGATGCGGTTTGTGTCGAAGCAACGCTTTATAAGATAACAAAAAACAAGCGAAAGGATAGCACGTCAGATTTTCAGGAAATGATGGTAATTTCCTCACTGTATTTGATCGCTACTTTACTATGTTCTGACCTTTTTACGATTTTTTATGTATTTTTCGATCATAGAGTTACAGTTCAGATGTTGTTTATAATCCGAATGATGATATTGGGCGTTTCTCTGTCATAAGCATTCCGGTGCAATCAATGTGCCCTTTGGGTGATCAACACACCATCTACAAACTATTGTTTCGGATTAAAGTTCTGCCCAAAATTGATTCAAATACAAATGATGAGAATTGTGAAAATGGTGGTAAGTGGAAAGTCAGTATTTTTCATAAGTATATATTTTTTTTAAATTAGTAGTTTATATTATTACTTCAACCACTGTATATACATATGTATATACAATATTGTGCCTACTAAAATAAATTACATCAAATTCAGAGACTCCCAGCAAACGCGGTAAAATGAACACAAAAATATACGGCTGCGAATTAATAGTGTTTGAGAAAAATATTTGCTTCATTCCGGAGGGTGATTATGAGGCGGCGATGCAGGAGCTCAATTCGATGAGCATAAAGTCCTTCTCCCCAAAGAAGCGCACATGGGAAACGCTACCGGACAATTACATTCCACTCTCAATGAAATTCGATGTATTCAATCAATTTCCCACGCTCAAGTTTCGCTTAACCTGGTCAGCCAACGAAATGATTAGCAGTATTGATGCAAAGGATTTACATTTATATGGTAACTTTGCTGGCAACACAGATGAGCCGAAAGATAAGTCACAGAATTTAACTAATGGTGTTGCAATTCAAATGAACGGCACCGTTAATTCAAATGACACTACGGGCGCACTTGTAAATCATAACAATAATTTCGTCAAAAGCAATGGTAGTATTGACAAAAGCGGCGTCGTACTACCTACTTTAAAAACGGAGAAAATCCAAATAGTTTATAATTTTCTGTATAGTAACAATACGCGCCAACAAACAGAGTACACACAAGAGGTAATATGTCCATGGTGTGGGTTGGACTGCTTGCGTTTGTACGCATTGCTTAAGCATTTAAAGTTGTGCCATGCCCGTTTCAACTTCACTTATCAACCGGCAGGAAATGGTGCGCGTATCGACGTGACAATCAATGACTCGTATGATGGGTCGTATGCGGGTTCGCCCTACGACCTGGCCGGCCCATCAGGCTGCTCTTTTGCGCGCACTTGTGGTCCAGTGCGCAGAACGACGGTGACAAATTTGTTAGTATGCCGTCCACGTAGACAGAAAACGTGTCTAGATGAATTTCTGGTGCTGGACGAGGACGATTTAAGCAATCAGCGACCCTATATAACGGGCCACAATAGGTTGGTAGTTACTTCATATTGCATTGTTATTAACTTCAATATAATCCTTGCATTTTCTTTACAGACTTTACCATCATACGGAAACTTGTTTGCCGGTGCATCCGAAAGAACTAGATATCGATTCAGAGGGCGAGAGTGATCCACTTTGGCTACGACAAAAAACCATACAAATGATCGATGAGTTCTCCGATGTGAACGAGGGCGAGAAAGAGTTGATGAAATTGTGGAATTTGCATGTTATGAAACATGGTTATGTCGGCGATTGTCAGTTGCCATTAGCTTGTGAAATGTTTTTGGATTCGAACGGTCATGAGGTTATACGCAAAAATCTCTATCGCAATTTTATCTTACATATGTGTTCACTGTTCGATTATGGGCTCGTCTCACCTGAAACTGTCTATAAAACTGTACAAAAACTGCAAGGTATGCTAAGTAAATATCCCGAGGGACAAGAGATGATGTCCAAACAACGTGAAGCGCAATTAAAGTATTGGCTGGAAGTTGGCATACATAAGCAAGACGAACAAAAGCTCAAATCGCCACAAAAACAACCGACGTCAAGTGCAAACGTTGTTGCTGAGGCGTTAGGCACCATCGCAGTCGAAGCTACTGGCACCCCGGTAAGTGGTAACAAAAATTTGGATAACAAACCAATGCAACCACCTTCAAAGCGCTCCGCCACAGCTGTCAAACGTGCCAGTATGCATCCACAAAATTGTGTAAATGGCAGCGCTGCTGACAAAATGGCTAATGGTGGTAAAGGTGTTGCCAAAAAGACTGTTTCCCAAGCAGATGACGATCAAGACCCGCCCGCAAATAGTGTAGTTAGTAGCGCTAACACCGATAAACGCGAGCGGCGCAGTGAAAGCAGAAGAAATAGCACGGCTTCTAATGCGGCAGCTACAGGGGGGACAGTAACGTCGACGATGGAGCGCGATATAAAGAATGAGCGAAAAGAGGCTCAAGGCAGCGAGCGTCCTCAACGTGGTAGTGCTGTTGGTGGTGGCGTCGCGGCATCAAATACCGCATCAGAATCACGCGCGCAGGCAGCTAAAAGGAGATTGTCTATAAAAGGTAAGTTGGCCGCTACTAAAAGGTACAAGAAAATGCGCACTCAATACCATTTCCATATGTACATAAGTACGTTTCGATTCTATTAATGATTGAAGCAAAAAAAAAAAACAATTTTTAAGAAAGGCCTAATTGAGGAAAATTTTATAAAATAGCCGTTACATATTTACTATCGGCAAAAGTTTCACTCCAGTTAAACTATAAAGACATTTTATAAAAAATAGGTCTGCGCATTTTTTATGCTTTTCGTTTCGCTAAAAAACATTTGAGAAATATGCCGTCATTACGTAAATAATATCTATTGTCATAATGCTTCATTAAATGCAAAATCATTTTGACTAAATCGCAACATACAACACTACGCTTCACCAATATCTATAAATCATGAATTAACCATCTAACATAATAAGGACATGGTTTTAGTTGAAACAAATCCTACATCTGTTGTCATATATTTCATTTATTTAACATAAACATGTTTTATGCTCCTAAAGTAAGTTTTGTTGGCTAAGAAGTCTTTTATTTACCTAGATAGGTATATTTAGATATACATACACACCTAAACGCGTAAACCTCGTAAATAAATCGCGCTTCCTTACAAAATTAAGCAAGTTTACGCGATTTACATGGTTATGAGGCATTTGCGCGTTTGGATGAATTGCCCTATTGTTTTAATGATTTAAATTTTGAATTAACGAAATTTTTTGAGCTCAAGGAGAAATTAAATAAACAAATTAAAGCTCACCAAATATCACCAAAAAGTCAATATAATCGTATCCCAATTCACTTGAATAGCCAATTTTATTTCTTCAAGATCCTAGCTTATATCTGCAGTTGTGGCATCGGAGAAGCTTTATTTTAAGATAATTTTGAAAAATAATCGATTCCTAAAAAAAACATTAAATATATCCAAAACACACAAGGCCTACACGGAAATGACTGAAGGCCCTTAAAGGAAGAAGGTAATGTCCAAGACACCACAAGTAATATTATGAACTACTCAAATTTTTGTGCTCAGAAAATTTCATAAGCGAAACGCAGCTCGAATTTTGAACGCTTTACATGCCTTGGATGGGCGGACGACTAGAAAGTGGTGGGGTTCTCCTCTGAAAAACTTGATATTTAATGGCTCCAATGTATTTAATAATTTTTGTTAATGTTTATAGTTTGATTGCACTTCATGATCGAGAAGATAGTGTGGCGGTCTCAAGCGCAATATCGTATTGATTCGTATCAGAGGAGTTATAAATACGACGATAAACGAAGCAAAGTCTAAATTTTTTGCAGCGATAGCTCTCTATCGGACCCAAGCTTAGTGAATTTTTTTTGGAAAAGGTTTTTTCGCAAAGTATGCCAATGAATATATCCGATTGAAAGACCGTTTTCATTGCACCCAAAGCGCTTAAGCATCTGAAGTTTCCGTCCAGATGCCATCCAGCTCCAGTACCGTTTTCAGTCTTTGAGCCGTCAGTATAGACAGTTTTCACTGAGCTTCCCAAGAGAGTGTCTGGATCTCTCCATTGTTCCCTTGTAGGAAATCTAACGATGTACTTTCTACCAAAGGAGACTCTAGGTATCAGTTTGTCTTTTGGTGCCAAAAACAAAGGATATTGCTCTGACAACCTTCTGAACAACTCTCTGTGCCCAGAGCTCCGATCGTCGTGCCACAGACCAAATGAGTGCAGTCGACACATCGTTTTCATTGCCTCCTCTTGGATCGCTAAATCCAGAGGCGACAAATTCAACAAAGCATTAAGAGCCTGTCCTGACGCTGTAGCCTTGGCGCTCGTAATGCCTATACACACACTCCTTTGTAGCCGGTTTACCACAGAAGCCGTGGTTTTGACCATGGTTCTGCGCCATACTACAGCAGAATACGTGACGATTGGCCTGATTAAAGCTATGTATATCCAAAATACCACTGTCAGTCTCAGACCCCGGGTCTTGCGCTCGATTAACCTTGAGGTCGACGTGAGTTTTCCATGTCAGCTTCGCATCTAGAGTTACCCCTAGATATTTCACATCCACGGAAAGACTTAAGTTTACGCCTCTAAGCACTGGAAGGATGAGACCTTCCAATTTTCTTTTCCGCGTAAACAGGACTAGGGTTACGTTGATGGGATTGACAGCAATACCCTGCAAAGTGTACCATTCATCAATCTTATTCAGGTTTCTCTGTGTCTTAACACAAACCTCCATGAGATTTACCTGATGACAGTGCACTGACATCATCCGCGTAAGCTTCGATGTGAACGAAGTCTTGCATTTCCGTTAGTAGGGAGTCCACTACCAAACACCACAAGAGAGGTGAGAGCACTCCGCCCTGAGGGCATGCTCTCCCAATTTCTGCTATGGTACAAAGGCTAGCTTCATCCCCCACGGTTAGCAGTCTCCTAGATAGCATGAAGTGAATCCATCTTATGATGGTGAATGGTGGACTCCCATTGCGTACTCACTTGCTTCCAGCCCCACCTCGATCTTTGTTACAAGGTCATGTAGGGCTGATTCACAGGATTTTCCACATTGGTATGCATGTTGATGGAACACTAAGGGGACTATTCACCAAAACCCTTGATCTAATGTACTTTTCAGCATGAAGGATGTCAGGCTAATTGGCCTGAAGTTTTTTGCCAGCGCATAGTCATCCTTTCCTGGTTTGGGAATGAAGACCACCCTGACTTTTCTCCAAAGAGTGGGAATGTGGCCAAATGGCAGACAGGCCCTAAATACCCTTATTAGGGCCCCTACAAGCCTGTATCCACCACACTTTAGCATTTACCGACACACACCATCTTGTCCTGGTGACTTAAAGCCGTCAAAAGAGGCTAAGGAAAACCTCACTGACAGGTCAGTCACCACCCGTGATGCTATGTACCAGTTTAGTCTGGTGGCTCTTCCGGGCGCGCGATCCTCCACCATATCTCTGCCAGAATCAGGAATTATCTTGCTACCCGGAAAGTGAGTTTCCAGGAGAGTTTTGTATGTCTAGCAGCGCCGTGGTGTAAGTTCCATCAGATTTTCTTAGAGAAGCCTAACCGTCAGGCCCTTTTGAAGTACCTTACACAGCTTGGCAGACTCTTTCATGTTGGCTTGCGAATTCGCCTCTTATATTCCTTCTGCACGATATGATATTCGGACCAGTCCTCCCCTATTCGGGTTTTTAAAGCCCTATTCAGAAGTCTCCTAGACCTTTTTCGAAGTATGGTGAGTTCAGCGCTCCATCATGGGACCGCTTTTCCCTACCTTCTTCTTAGCGGACATACTTCCGCAAAACAACCAATCAAAGTACTCGTTACCTCGCGGGTCGCCTCTTCAATTGATTTAATGTTTTTGAGTTTATGGAGATTTGGTATTCTCGTTTCAAGGAGCAACCCAAACTTTTCCCAGTCCGCCTTTCGAGGATTCCGACCTTTCGGCACTTGACAAGTGTCAGTTCCTAGCCGAAACTCGATGAATCGATGATCTGATAGATAGTCGTTATGTAAGACCAACCATCCTTTGATATGATCCGCCATAACTACATTGGTTAAGGTTAGATCTATCACTTCCTTACTTCTGCTAGTGACAAAAGTAGGTTTGTTACCCAAATTCTGTATTACCAATTCAGAGGACAGAATGTAGTCTAATAGCTGTTGTTCCCACGGAAGTTGCATTTCGTGCTACCCCATATAGTGTTTTGTGAGTTCGCGTCACAACCCACTATTAGGCCCATATCATTTGACTCGGCGTACTGCACGATGTCTATAATCTTCCTCGAAGGAGGGGGGACTATAGAATCGTATGGCAGGTAAGCGGAGACTACGATGGCCTCGGCGCGTTTCCCGTCCGAACAGTACAGTATTGTACATCTTTCTTTTAACGCCAAAATACGGATTAATCTTACAGCTAATAAAAGGTGCAATCCCGTATTCCTCGGACTCGGACTAATAAAACTGTCAAAAAATAAAAATTCGCTCAGAGCGAGAGAGTAACATTGAAAAATACGGGATCGCTTTCTAGTAAAAAATGGTAACTTCTGTCAACTTCAACATAACCTCCAAATTTTGGTTTGTAAATTTTTGCTTATTTTGTATGTAAACACACTCAGCTCACACACGCAAATAACCAAAAATACTTTCAAATTCATTAGAATCCACTTAAACAAGTATTTCAATACTTTTCAACATGAATTAGTAGAGTGCACTTTTACTACAGCTGATCGTTTGACACATTTACCAGAATTTACCAGCAAAAAATGCTCGGACTAAAACTTCTGACAGAGAGAGAACCGTATCTACTATCTTTTTTGTCCTCTCAATAGTCAGAGAACCGAGTACGGGATCGATTTCCAGTAAAATCTGACTGATTCTGACTATTTCTGACTAGTCCGGACTCGTACGGGATCGCAACTAAAATGTTTTGTCCGTGAAATGGTGTACATATGTGTTTTGCTGAATATGTAACGGAAGTCTGCATTAAAAAGCCAATTGTTTTTTATTTCTAACCTCAAAGCTCCAAATATAAATATGCCGAAGTTGGTAAGGATTCACTAGCAGCCAAAAAAATTACCGCCAAACAAGTAGAGTAAATCTTTATCCAAAATCGGAAATCGAAAATGTTGACTGTTTTCACTTTCTAACCTAAAAAAAAGCGCTTATAATTTAAAGTAGGTTTTTGCGTTTAGGAACTAAAAATCTATAAGTATTAACTAGTTTGGTTTTTTTTTGTGAAGCTGTGAAATTCTAAATTTTCTCATATTCTTCTTTTACTGGGTGTTACACGTTCTTCAACTTCATACCATATAATACTGTTTAATGTGACTTTTATTACTTTTACTATCATTCTCAACCAAATCCAATTATATTGCGCTCATTTTCTATCGGTCGATCACCACTTCATACATGCCACGCCATGCCATGCCACATACGCCACGTCCATACAACCAACATTCGCCACTCACCACATAACGCCGCTGCCTTAAAAAATACACTTGAAAAAATTTCAATATCAAAATTTTTTAAATTCGAAACCATATGCGTTTCTTTCTTTTGCTTTCTTTTGGTCTACTTTTTCCCTTACAAATAAAACTTAACACAAAAAAAAAAATATGTTAGCAGCTTTTAAAGATGTGGAAGGAGAGGGCGTTGGCGTTGAAAGTGGAAGTGGAAGTGTTGGCGCAGATAGTAATAGTGAAGCGTTGGAAGCAAGTAATGATGAAAGTATCATAGCTGCCGTTAGCAATGCACTGTGGCAAATCGCAAGTAATGAAGTCAGACAAATCTCTGCAGGGTGTGAAGCTACAGCAAATGTCTTAAATATTGGTGTTGTTGTTGATGTTGATGCTGGTAATGATGCTGCTATTGGTGGTGATGATGTTGGTGATGATGACCTTGAGTCCGAGCTACGTAATGATATGACGAATACATCAACTATAACCTCAGTCGCTACAGTAGCCACAACAATTGCTGAAGCGGAGAATACTCCTTTGGATGATGTATTAGCAGCTATGTAGTAGTTAAATTGTATTGACGGCTTTTTAAGCTAACCTCTCGCAAAATGCTTACAAACCTCATTAAAGTACTATAGAATAACTGTTTGTAATGTAGTAAATATTTAACTAACAATTTTTTTTTTTTTGCATTTTGGTATTCTTTTGCTTTTAAAGATGCCATTTTGAAATACATACACATAGTAAAAATATACACTATGTACCTACTTTTAATTTGTCTAGCGGAAATATTGAATTCTAAACTCATAAAATAAATGGAAATTTGTGCATATTTTCAGGCTAATTTCATTGTAAGCAATTTTTGTACGTGCCAAATTCATTTGTCATAGTTTAACTATCGTTCAATTTATATGTAACCCTTATGTGGTAAACAGAATTGCAACGGAGAGCGGGTAACGGGCTGACGCACAGTGGTCCAAGTTGCTCTAGTAGGGTAATTTAATTATTATATTAAGAACTAAGCTAGATATCGGGATGAAATTTTGTACAAATTACGTTCGGATGACTAACAACTTCAGGTCAAAAATAGGCAAGATCGAATAGCGACCACGCCTACCAACCATATAATTATCATTCCCACGATAGCTGGTTCTATGTACCGGAATGACTCGGGTTTTACCCGACCAAGGGCTGCTGTTTCGGCGATCTAACCCCGTTTAGGTCACAGTTGCCCACAAGCGTATATGAAACAGAAAAAAATGTCGAAAATCGACAATTGTCGCACCAGTCACTTTTATGAAATAGGCCCCAGGATATTCCGTAATATGACAAGTGCAACACTTGCCTTGGCTGGTGTCACTTTAGGGCATGCTGAAGACTGCGCACCACGCGAGATTGGACGAGGGACTATGAGTGCCCATGCTGTGCTGCTCGGACGCAATCCCCAACTGCCACGCCGCCCACTAACACCGCAGGGCAACAGCCGCAGCAGCAGCAAGCACAGCATGTGGCGGCTCGGCAACTCGTGTCACTTACACCCCACATACCAATAAGTCTCCCTAAGCACACGAAGATTTTACAATTCAACTGTAACGGACTTCAGAGCAAGATCGAGGAGATAACAGTCTTCATGGGTCGGCACGGAATATTAATAGATGCGGTCCAAGAGACGAAGCTGCACGGCAATTCAACATTGTTGTTGCGTTCATCACGCACCACACCTTGCAGTATCGTCTTATCGAAGCAGACATCGACGGCAGGGATACCATTCTGGAATGTCAGGGTATTGCAATCCGGTCAGGCGATGTCGAGCTCGAAATATTTAATATATTTACACCCTGCCCCCAGCTGCCCGGCAGGATATCACGCTGAAATAGGTGCACTCTCCAGAAGTGAAAACCGTATGGTAGTTGGTGACTTCAATGCGCACCACGATCTTTGGCATGCAAGCCTGTCAAACGATCGTAGGGGAGCATCTGAAGACCTGCAACTTCGCCTCTGGTGTGAGTAAGCTTTGGTCAACCGTGAGGTCATTGTCCAACCCGACGAAGCGTGACGACAGAGTTGAAGTAGACTTTGGTGACCACGCTTCGTTGGACCCGGAGCGACGCGCGAGCTATTTTAGCCGGCAGTTCATCTTGCATGCTCCGGTGGATAAAGCCAAACTTCGAGTGACCAGAAGGCTGCACAAAGTGCCAAAACTTAGTGCGCCTCTTGTTTTCACCAGCGGTGAGGTAAGGGTAGCCATCGGGAAGGCGAAAGCCTCCAAAGCCATTGGACCCGACGGAATATGCTTGCTGATGCTGAAAAATTTGAGTCCTACGGGAGTAGCGCACCTAACGGAGGTCTTCAATTTGTCAATGACCCCTCTCATCATTCCAGACATCTGGAAGATGGGGAGAGTGGTCCCAGTGCTCAAACCGGGGAAACCAGCCAACAAAGGAGAGTCTTATCGTCCGATAACCCTCCTTTCCCCGGTAGCGAAAACACTCGAGGCCTTGCTACTCCCGTATCTTACAAACCACCTGACCCCAGCGAAGCATCAGCATGGATACCGTAAAGTGCGCAGCACAACAGCAGCACATAACGCCATAAATACCCAGATAACTCGTGGCCTTAACCGAACCGCCCCTGTGAGAGAACTATTCTAGTATTGTTGGACCTGTCAAAGGCGTTTGACACCGTCAGCCACTCGACGCTACTAGAAGATATAGAGGCTTCCTCTCTCCCACAGAGGCTCAAACGGAGGTCGGCGAATTATCTGAGTGGTCGACACTCGTCGGTAATATTTAGAGACAAATCGAGCAAACTTAGAAAAATAAAACAGGGGGTTTCACAGGGTGGTGTCCTTTCGCCGCTACTGTTTAACTTTTACATTTCAAAGCTCTCTCAACCACCAGAGGGAGTATCGATGCTCTCTTATGCTGACGATTGTTCAATCATGGCGTCTGGGAATGGAATAGATGACTTGCTCGAAATTAAACGGTTATCTCGCCAAGTTTTCTCGTTTTTTTACTGCACGGAGCCTAACCCTCTCCCTTACAAAATCCTCAGCCACACTTTCTACCACCTGTACGAAGGAGGTCAGACTACAACTGGGAATTCACGTCGATGATACACCAATTCCGACGGTGAACAACCCGAAGATACTCGGAGTAATATTCGATTGTCTGCTCTCCTTCTCGGCGCATACAACCGCTATTGTCAACAGAGTACAAAGCCGCAACAAGGTCCTCAAGTAGCTAGCCGGAAGCACCTGGGGCAAAGACAGAGACGTTGCTGGCAACGTACATGGCAATTGGCCGACCGGTTCTGAACTAGGCAACGCCCGTGTGGTCACCGGGGACTAGTAAGCCGCAGTGGATGAAGTTGCAGACTTGCCAGAATACGGCACTCAGGACAGCGACAGGATCCCTTTTGATGTCGCCGCAACACCACCTGCACGAGGAGGCCCACATGCTCGCTGTTAACGAGCATAACACAATGCTCTGCAAGCAGTTTCTGGTTGCGAGCAGCAGACGTGGTCACCCAAACAGACAACTCCTTGCAGAAGAGCCTTCGCCCAGGCACATCAGGAGGCATCTCTACGAACTGACGGACGAAGTGCAGAGGTTCATCAAAAGAACTTCGTCTGCCTCGGGAGACTCGGACCACAATAGCCCAACTGCGCTCCGGTTACTGCAGCAGGTTGAACTCATACCTGAGCAGATTAAACGAAGATGTTCTCAACGAATGTCCGGCATGCGGAGAGTCGCCCCATGACATCATCTCTTCGTATGCCCTCTAAATCTCACTCCTGTCCCAATGGACAGACCCCGTCGAGGCTGCTTCCTGGGGCTACCGCTAGAAGAGCTTCACGACGATTGAGGGACTAACCGATCTGGGCGGGGTTGTTGTAGCCGCTGCAACAACAACAACAACCATAAAATTATAAAACCTTTAAATTTTTCATAAATTTCTGGTATCTTTTTAAAGCACTTGCGCACGGAATAAACAAAGATTCTAATGCAAATTCATATATGTTACAACTTAAATAATTAAATTATAATAAATTCGATAGGGGTCTTCATCTAAAATGATAAAGGGATGAATTGCTTAAATTTGGTAAATAATTGCACAAAATTGTTTATTATTTAATCGCTTGATAAAGTGATAATGTTAAATGGATCTCCATACAAAGTTTTACAGTTCATTTATCAAAACGATAAATTTATCATTTTATCAAGTTTATCAACAGTTTATCAACAGTTTATCAACAGTTTATCACATTTGTTGAATATTTGCAATGTTTTTCAAGTTAAAAGTTCGTGTTATGTCAAATCCCAGTGAACTCGATGAAGAAGTCTGATGAGGAGATGTGGTGATCTCCGAATTATCAGCTATAACTTCTACCATTTGTAAATTACTGTTGCTTCCACCACACTTTTTCATTAGCAAAAATTATTGAATATAATTGTGAGCTTTTTAATCTGAACTGTTAGAAAAATTATGAGTATGCTGGTACATCGGTTAAGGAATTCTAAAACAGCTTCAATAAGTTCAAAAAGTGCAACTTATAAAAACCAGCGTTGATTTTTCAGTGATAGTTCAGTGGCATGATTCAATAACACAAGGTTATGTAATTTGTGACAGCTAAAAATTGACTCTCCTTTATCTAGATTTGTATTTTAGAAGTAGGAGAAAGCGCAAAGTAAACAATTAGAAGTAAAATGTGTATTAAATATTAATTCTATGTGAATATGCAATATATTTGGTGTTTTAATGGAAATACTAAACAATACGTAAAAATATGGATTTTTAATTTAAGTTATTCATCATTTCCTGGAACCAATCTAGAATACCCACCGTTCAGCTATGCAAAAACGAAAAATACAGATCAATAGAACTTTTTACGCTCATTTCAATCATGCGAAAATTATTTAGCGCAAGTAAAATATAGAAGGTTAAAGTGATTTTTTATTTTTTTTAAATATTAATATCTATGAACGACATAATCGATTAAAAAACTAATAACGTCACCATAAAGATAATAATAAAGGTTGCGCAGGAATGCCTCGCAGCTCTAAGCGATATTAGCACCGTGTTCAATGTCAGCTTCATATGGGTTCCGGGACACAGAGATATTGAAGAAAACTGCAGGGCCGATGAGTTAGCCAGGAAAGGTACGAATCTACCCCTATGTGAAAAGAGGGGCACTATTGGGATACCCATGGCAACCTGCAAATTGGAACTTCGAAATAGCATGATCCATGAGGCCAACAGGTCATGGCTAGAGGAGGGCACATGTAGAACAACCAGGCTGCTTTGGCCGCAAATAGGAAAGAAAAAGACGAAAGAGTTGCCGTGCCTCTCAAGAGAGGACATTGCGAAGGTCACGGCTTGTGTAACCGGTCATTGGCTATTTGGCAGGCACTCTTCAAGACTTGCAATTTTCTCCCATTGAATATTGCAGAAGTTGCAGAGATGAGGAAGAGCAAGAAACCGTAGAGCACTTCTTCTGTAGTTGCCCAGCTTTGGCCAAGAGGAGAGCAAGCTTTTTAGGCAGGCCCTTCTTTAGCTCTGTTACGGAATTATCACGCGTCGGAATAAAACCGATTCTACACTTTATAAGAGCCTCAAATTGGTTCTCTGAAGAATAGTCACCGAGGTTCCCGTGTTCTGCAGTGGTACCTTAATGGACCTTCAAAAGGTCTAAGTGAGTTGGTAAATTGAACCGACTGCCACATCAACCTAACCTAATCTAACCTAAGACAAATATGTGCGCCCACTTCAGTGATCTATTTTTACATTTTCTGAATTTTCTTACTTAAAACAATGACTGAGAAAGAAATGGAGTTTTTTTCAACAATATATTGAGCCTTAAAAATACTCAGTTTTCGCTGTACGCACAATTTCATTTTTCACTTTTTGCTTACTATATTTTTTGGATACCGTTATGTTTATATGTAGCCAAATTTTTTTAAACAAAGTTATATTTACTCTTTAGTAGGCAATTGGGGTATTCACAACGGTGTTGTAAGTGTCGTATTGTTATATGTTGTAAACTTTAAATACATACCTAAAAAAGTGCAATCACCGTTGTGGCAAAAATGAGATTTGGTAACCCTGAATTCCATGCATCGAGATTTATGCATAAAAATCGTTAAATCGTTAATAAAACAACAGATTTGTTTGTTTATGTTCTTTCCGTTGTACATTAGGTCAAATGATTACTTACTTTTTCGTCGTGTAAGAAAATATATGCTAGTACTAAGTCGAATAGACTCAAAAGGCGTCTCTTCAATTTCCTGGGCCGCAGTTAAAAACTGTATTAAATTGCATTTGGGTGCAACATTTGAGAGCAGTGCTTCCAGTAGGTCTCTGTAATATTTTGAATTCAAAGTTTTTCTATTTTCATGCGTACTACATATTTCAGTGTTGCATGTGTAAAACTCGAGTCAGCGAATATCGATTAAAAGTGTTCCTAATAAGCTTTTACGGGTGCAAAAATGCATATGTAATATACAAATTAGAAAAATATATACAGTCAGTCAATAAAGTTTAGTATATATTTTTATTATAAAAACCAAACTTAATCTCAAACAACTTTTCAATATATTCTCTAATTTACACCTAACCTCATTTTCGCTTTCATACAAAAAAAAAAATATAATCAGATGTACCACAACCGCCCGCCAGTAAACGTACTCGCACCACAGAAGGCAACATCAACAGCACCAGTGCCGGTGGCGGCACAACAACGCGTACAGCCGCGCTGCGACAATCAGCCGATGCCATCAATAATACTACAAACAGTAGTGGCAAACATACAACAGCTACAACTGCAGCTAGCAATTTAAACAGCACCACAACAACGACAACACTGCCAAAGCGATTGGTTACCAGGCGTCAGTCCATAGCAGGCACTGCCAGTACCAGCCAAAATCACAATGACAACAACAACAGCAGCAATCAAGCCGCAGAAAAAACACTGCCAAAGTACACATCCTCCAAAAATTTGTCGAACAATACTTCTTCAACGACAACAGCGACAACAATTGCACCCGCCAACACCACACATCATTCGTTGCGTACACGGCTCTCGGTGCCATTAATGAAAGTTGATAAACGTTAGATAGAGGCCAAAGGGAAGTTGCGGTAAGATAATGTGCGTGCGTGCGTGCTTCGTATGGAAAGTGTTATAAGTAATACGAGGTGATATACCGTCGTTTTCAACGTCAGCGACGTTATACATACATACATACATACATACTACATATAAAATGTTTAAAAACTATATTGTTCGTTACGTTAATGTTAAGTTTTTTATCATTTTCAATGACATCCATTAGATTCTTATTGCCGGTACCAATATACTACTTACTTACATGTGTACTAGGTATGTGTGTGGTTATATTTTATATTCGAAAAATTTTAATAAAATAAATAGCATTAAAGCATATTACATACATGCGTACGTACATATGTACATACATTGGTACTTGTTTTATTGTTTCTAACTATTGTCTTTTTTTATTTGTTTACTTATTACACTAACTCATTTTTACCAACGCCAATATTTAAGTTACCACCTCAATGGACCGATGGAAAGAATTGAAATTCATTTTGCTTTTTTGTTCAAAATTTTTTATACATACTTATATCCTGTATTTTTAATATTATACGACTATATTAGTTACTATTAGTTACTATTTTTCTTTGTTTTCAAAACTCAGCGCTAATATGTAATTACAAATCTGATAATTCACAATTTTGATGCTTTTAAAGAACAGAACTGAACTCAGCTGTAAAGCCATAATATTTACATAAAACACATACATGCATATAACAGTAAAATATAAACAATTTGTATTGCAGTGTGTACATTAGGGTGGTCCAAAAATGTATGGGAGATAAGTAAAATCGGAATTTAATGCTCTCATCCCTTAGGATTGTTCTATACCGAAAAAATATACCCCTGTTTTTTTATTTTAAAATCAAAATATATTTAGAGGTCGCTCAAAGCGCTCAAAGTTTCCCATGTACTTTGTATGGGGAAAAAAATACTTTTCGTAGAAATGGCATAGAATCCATGGAAATCAAAATTTTTCAATCTGAAAACCCTGCTTCCTTTCAGAAGACTTCAGAGAATAATGCCCAATTGTTTATTTAAACGTTATTTAATTTAAACAATTTTTTTTTTTTCTTTTGTATATTTCTGTTTGTATATTTGATTTTTTTTGGGATATTTCGGAGTCCCTTAAAAAATTAAATTTCCGACTTTACTTTTTTTTTGGACCACCCTAGTGTACATACATACATACGTGGCGTGAGTGATGTGAGTTGAATGACTTTCATATTTATACTCGATAAAAGTTTCCAAAAAAGTTTATATGACTACTAACATTTTTTGGGCATAGTGTAAAACCTAATATTAACTTTAAAATGAAATACGTATTTTAAATGAATCTTTTAGACCATTTCAGGTTGTCGGTGATTAATCAGTCAGAAAAGAAGCTTGTGAATTATATTATATTAGAAATGTGTATATTACAGTACATGCATACATGCATACATACCTATACACACATTCTTACCATACAAACATACTTAGGTACATGTGAATTAGTTAATAAGTGAGTTTAAAATTAAATAAAAAAATTGAAAACTAAATGTATTAAAATGTATATCTTTTTAGTAATAAATGCTGCTATTATTAATATTTCAACTAAATAATTAAAGACAAACTACAATAGCGTTTTAATTCCTTCGCTAGACAGCTTTTATTGCTTATCAATGACCATTGAGCTTTTTTTTGTGGCCATAACCGATGGAGATTCTTAGCTCTTCTTTTTATTTTTCGAAATACCATTATGTATTTGTACTTATTTTGTAATTCAAATGTGGTAACCACATAAAAAACAGAAGAATGAACTTCGCTGCTCCTGCGTCAAAGAATCCATTTTCATGGTTACAAGAACCGAAAAACGCATTTTACTTTTTTTTTTTAAGTTCATCGCATATTGATTTTAGGTCATAGAAAGAAAGAAATCAAACATTTTACTTTTGAAGGTCGGTTTTAAGGTCAAGGTAATTTTCATCATTCTAGTGACCTGATTTCTTTTTAATTTTTTGAACTTTTTCAACCTAAACCCAGCATGTAATGAACTTAAAAAGGTGCGATTTTCATTTCGCTGAGCTTCAAAATCTTTGATATTTGAAAGACCGTTACATTTCTTTTGCTAGCTGTTCTCGTTATTTGAGTTTGTCACAAAACAAGTAAAATTTCCACACTGCATCGCCGAAACAACAGCCCTTGTTCGGGTAAAACTCGAGTCATTCTGGTACATAGCACCGGCTGTCGTGAGAATGTCGTGGGCGCCTTCACTCGCTCTCGCCCCGTAAATGCCGTCGTCGGAATTCAATTATAAATCAGCAGGTTATATTCCTATCTATCTAGAATCGACCTCGACTTACCTAACGTACATATGTCCCGAATGTGAGGATTCCCCGCATGATGCTTCTAATCTCCTTTTCACATGTCCCACTCCCGACGCCGTCGAAACGGAAAATTTTCTGCACCTACCGTTAGTTGACGACAACGTTTGAAATATTCGCCGACTCTAGACAGGGCTAAGTAGCCGTTACAACAATGAAAACCCAGCGTATTGTCTGGAAGACTAAAGCCCCCCATCAACGAACTGATAAGGGCTATCAGTTGGCTTCAGATCGGGGCTCGAATCACCGCATCCGTGATAAAATTGAACTCGATTCGACATTTAATTTTGTGATTACGTCACTCGATAAAATGCCCGCTTGTTCAGTATAAGTAAATTGCATTGGAGAGAAAACAACTGTCGTTTTATTTCATTTCATTAGATTCGAAACTAGTAATCATTCGACCACATATGCCGTGATTCGGGCCCTGCTAAATCCACCATAGACCAGGTATTCACCATCCGTTAGAACTTGGAAAAATGGAGGACTGGCACACCCCATCTGTTGGCCAATTTCAAAGTATTGAGTAATGGAGTTGCCTATACCCCGAACCCCGAAGCGAACAATCAGCGCGTATCTCTCGCTAGTGCATCAAATTTATATAAATCAGAAGAGGGCAGGCGCAACGCCCGACGCACTTATTTACGTGTGGCTCTTAAAAAATCGTTTTCTAACATTTTTTTACGTTGTGCTGAGCAGTCATCGGATGTGGATCGAACAGAGTAATCATATACACACCGATATCCTGAATATTTATTTAAGACTTATCGTTGGCGAAACTAAAATCGTGGGCATCTATTTTTCATCCATCATTACATTTATCTATTCTTTCTTAGGTGCTGTAGCCGCCTCAGTGAGTTCAATAAATCACGCCAGTCATCATTTCTACTCGGTGTCAACTGACGACAATTGTAAATGCCAGGTGAAGCCAAGACCTTTACCTATGGGCCTTGCCAATGCTACCACTAGCCGGTACCGCGTACCGCCTGCGCACGTCTTGGCTCGACCTGCGGAGGAACTTACTCCTGAATTGCCTACTCAGTCCAAAGTTGCACTTGTTGGCAAAAGTGATTCTGCGTTGGATTTCCATGCTGACAGTATTGTCGGTGTTACCAGCATTAACAAGTAATCGAAATTCTCTACCTTCTCGAAATTATAACTGATAACAGTGACGTTGGTACCAGGCGCGAAGGCGCTGACTGTTTGTTTGATGACAGGAGATATTTCGTCTTGTCCTCGTTGACCACCAAACCCATTCGCTTTGCCTCCTTATCCAACTTGGAAAAGGCTGAAGAAACTTCGCGATTCTTGTTACCGATGATGTCGATGCCATCAGCGAACGCCAGCAATTGCACGCTCTTAAAATAAAAAATTCTTCCTGAGCGGTTCAGTTCTGCAGCTCCTATTCAGGCAGGTTCTGCAATTCATTTCCGGGTGAATTTCAACCAAAGCCACTTTGAATCCAAATTGAATGGGGTTGAAATTCACTCGGAAGTGAATTGCATAACCCGCCTGATTATCTGCTCCAACGTCAAATTAAAGAAATCACATGAAAGGATGTCGCTCTGTGTGAAACCCCGTTTGATAATAAACGGCTGGGAGAGCTCTTTTCCAATTCTGATGGAGGTGGTGGTATTGCTCTACGTAAATTTACACCGCCGTATAAGTTTTGAGGGGATGCTAAATTAAGACATAGCGGCGTATAGGCAACACCTTTTAGTGCTGTCAAAAGCGGCTTTAAAGTCGATAAATAGGTGGTGAATGTCGATCCTTTTCTCGCGGGTCTTTTCCAAGATGATAAGGCCCAATCAGTTCGATGACGTTCGGTGGGCTTCAGTCTTTCACACAATACGCTCAATAAGACCTTGTAACCTATTTATAACTGTAGGCTGATCCCGCGGTAGTTGACGCGAATGGCGATGTCGCCTTTCTTGTGGCTTGGGCAGAGCACACTTAAATTCCAGTCGTCGGGCATGCGCCCATATCGTTCCGAGGGAAATCCGCTAAGAACATGATGAGCCACGGTACACCGACAAAGAACAACTGGCTGGGGTAGAAAATGGCAGTATGAAAACAAAAACTTAGTTGTTTTTATAAAAAAAGACTGCAATATGGGTAATATCGGACAAGGACATCCGAATATTGCTTTGGTGGTTTTGCGTCTCGAAGATTTTCTGAGAAACACAACGTGCAAAAACTCTAAAAATTATTTCCAACTTTCTTTCAATAACATTGCCAAAAAGCTTCATAAAAAAAATTAAAAGCATATAAAAACTATCAAAAACATTTAACCGTTATTTATTTATATTTTTGGGTCATTTCATTTTTTTTTAAGTATGAAGATCTTATAAAAATATTTCTTTTATACAATTAAATGCAATTTACGATCGAGGGTTCCCACTTTTTCTATCTATTATTAACGTCTTTTGATGAGCTTGGTAAAAATTCCTCTAATTCGGAATCTTCAATTTCACACAAGTGAACCGATAGGTCGCTATTTGATCCATTTTTCGAGTGGAGATTTCTGAACACATAAATTTCTTCCGATTTGTCTATATGAAGAGAACGAAGAAATTAAGAAAATTTATACAAACATGGTTAAGCAAGAGCTTATAGCATTTCGTGAAATAAAATTACAATTGAAGGAATTAGGATAACACATGGGGTGATGCATTATTATTTTGGAGTTCGTTTTCGCACATACATACCACTTAATTTTCTTCTGGGTAGCATTTCACTGGTGGCTTTTGAAAATACCTCAGTGCTTGAACTTTCACCTTCAGTTTCACTGGGTACATTAAATGGAGGTAAATATGAATCTGGATGCCGTAAGTATGCGTTACCTGATGTTTTCAAAATAGAAACATTTGAAGAGCGTAAATTCCATGCAATTAAATAACAATATTTTTTGTTTTTACTTTTCAGTAACTTTTTAATTTATGTTAAATTATAGTGTTTTACTAAAATTTAAGTACTTACATGAGTTCATAGGATCATATGTTGAAGGCACTGTAAAAGAAGAAAGCAAAATGATTAGGAATATCAAAATTCGATAAATTTAAATTAAAAAATTTAATTTTTTGGAAATCAAAATATTGTATGTAAGAATTAAAGTGTTTGAAGGTCCAACTGAAATTGAACTCGAAATATCGAAATGAAAATATCGATATATACAAATTTATCGATACATATATGAAAAGTAATGGATGTTCGGAGTCGGCATAAAACTATTAGTATTATTATTATTAAATACGGTTATTACCTGGATTTGTAATGAAGTCTTCATTCTCAAAGTTAATTTGGGGGCTCAGTCTTGAAACATCATCATTATTAATAAGCGGCAGTTCGAAAGGTCGCATACAACTCTCGAGTTCAGAGTCGATGCATTCGGATGTTAAGTCTTCATTTAAAGTTACAATATCTCGAGTAGGATCAACACCAACGCACATACCTAACGGGAATAAATAATAGGTATATTTGTATACAAAAATAAACATACATATGTAGATAAAATAATAGAAAAGAATTGTGTGAACAGTTTTAATTATAAATTTTATTATCCCAACTTACTTTGCATTGCATAGGTACGCCTTGGCTTAGATTCATTGCTATCATTACTATGGAAGCTCGATGAGTCGGCAATCTCAGCACCAGGTACCTCTGTTATATCCGGCAATGGATTATGGCTTTTACGTACCCAATCCGAACAGTCCCAATGATATTGACCATGATTGACCGTTGGATAATCGGTATAAGGTGAATGACATACATTTGGCACTGTTACTTGTATCATTTTGCTACAACCGGTTTTTAAAGCGGCATAATCGAGTTTTTCTAAATAGGAAATATACAGATATTTATAAATTGTAAAATCTTGTAATAGATTGGCAAAAAAAAAATATCTTAAGTATTAAGTAAAAAATAAATCCTACTAATATTCTTATATAATAGTTGCAATTTTTATCAAATGTTATAATCAATTAATAGGTTAAATAAAGTATTACAACGGAAGAATTTCTAAAATGATTTATTTTGAAATTATTTCCAAGATGGTTGTCTCCTGTTCAAAAGGCCCAAATCAAATTTATTAACAAGTTAAAAGAAAAAATTTTATATGGGTATCAACCGAGAGAGGTTTGGAAAAAATCTCTGAAGAGGGTGCCAGCTGCTCCAAAATACATCATACACGCACTCTCTTCGGAAACAATAACCAAAAAGAAAAAAATTGTAATACCAATTTTGATGATATATTTTAATATGGGATTTCGAAGATAGTTTTAAAAGGTCAAAAGAGGTCTTACATCCTGTTTAAGAAGTCAAAATCAACTGAATTAATAAATTGAATTAAATATTTTATATAGATATCAAGCGAGAGAGGTTATTTCGGAAATATTTTTGACGAGGGTTGCCACCTGGTTAGAAATTAAAAATCAATTTAATTAATAAGTTATATACAATGTTCTAATATATGCATCAAAAGATAGAAATTTACCGAAAAATTTCGCGGGGTTTCCATCCGAATTATAAAATATATATTATTACTTCGGAAAATATTAAGATTAACGTGGGCTACACTGATTTGAAAGTACCTCCCAAAATCTCATTATTTTGACTCCGTTGATAACATTTTTAAAAAATTTTGTGTAGACCTTTCAGGTTTGAACTCTTCTATCATCTGGCGGCGATTTTTAGGAAAGCATTTTTAAACACTAGTTTTATTATCTATGAAAAACTAAAATTTTTGATGTGTTTTCAAATATGTCCAGCTTACTTAAGCATAATCTTAATATTTTTTCAAAATATTTTGGCGGAAGTCTTAAAATATAATAAATCTTATATTTCCGATGGAAAACCAGTACCGATTTTATTTTTTTTTTTGTATGAACAGTGATGCACCCTAATGTATATAATAAAGCAATATTTACTCACCATTGTTAAGCTTATTCTCGCTGAACGTCTTCAAATGCATTTGCTCAGTCCAGTCGCGCTTCTGTACGGGATCAGAATCGTTTAGATTTACATGCTCATTATTTCGATTGATTTTTTGATATTCGAATGGAATGTTTTCCAGCTCATCACCCGCCGAACCGTAGCTGCGCAATATGTCCAAGTTATTCACGAAGGTAGTGTGACCAGTGTACAAGTTATCATTTGTCGATGCTGTATAACTCATTGGTCGCTGGTTTATCTCCAAATTGCTCATCTTAGCGATATTCTTGGCGTATTTTTCCTTACAGACAAGCGAATTCAAATTCTCACCCTTATATGGATCCTTACTCGTTGAATTTTGGCCGGTTGTATTACTGCTCTTCCGAATGACTATACAACAGAAGGCCACAAGTATAACTATGATAATGAACACTATGCCCACCACAATGCCAGCAAGCTGCTCCATTGAGAGATTCTTTAACTTTGTAGAAATCGAATTGGAATATAATGGATCGCCACAACTGGCGCCTGTAAGATAAGATGGGCAAATACAGCGAAAGCTACCAGCCTCATTGATGCAGGTGGCACCATTGCCACACGGATGATTATCACATTCATTCACGTCGATCTCACACGTTGGCCCGGTATAGCCACGGCACATGCAGTGCGGTGTGCCATCGCCCTCCTCGCAAACGCCACCATTTTTGCATGGATTGGGCGAACAATATTTGCCATATTCGCAGCGGTGCCCCGATAAGTGCAGCGGACATGCGCACGTGTAATTGCCCAACTCGTGCACCTCACAGCGGCCGCCGTACAGACAGGGCGCCGAGGCGCACGGATCCATATCCATCTCACACATCTGACCGGTGAAACGTGAATGACAGGTACACTTGAATTTATTCTCGCCCAAGTCGATGCAGATGCCGCCGTTGAGGCAAGGCTGTGCGCCACAAATGCCCAGCTGTACGAGCACGCTCGTCGGATCACAAGTGAACTCGACGTTTGTGAAACGCTTTAGCGCCGCCACAGAGCTGCCACCCGATATGTATAGTGGTAGTGGATCGAGCGCAATTTTGATGTCTGACATGCAGCCAATGAAACCCTTCTGTATGTCCTCGAAGCCGATGATGGAGGGATGCGGTTTCACTTCAGCGCCAACGAAAATATCACTCGATTGTATGTTTAGTATGCCATTGACGCCTGGCGCACTGCCCTGCGAGACGTGCTTGTTGTCCACCGTCAGCTTGGCGCTATTCAATATGCGTTCCAGCGTAATGGTATGCCACTCGCCATCGGCAATGTAAATGCTTGAGACACATATTTTTCCCTCGCCCGAGCCCAGCTCGAAGCGATATTGCACAGCGCCATTGAAGATCTCCAGTATGTGATAGTCGATGCGGCCGCTGGAAAAGAGTAACGTGCCCGTTTGCTGCACAGTGCGTATCTTCAGCGAATAGACAAACTCCTGCTCGAGTATAGACTTCGCCACAGCCTTGTTGATCTTGTAGTGCGCATAGCTCTTGCCGCTGAAGGAGACCGAGGTGAAACGCGCACTGCAGTTGCCGTGTGGACATTTCGATAGCGACGATTTGCTGTCGCAGGCATGACCGGTGTAACCTTGCGGACAGATGCACTGGTAGCCGACAGTAGTGTTGGCGGGCCAGCATGACTTCTCCGGCGGACAAGGGTCCGATGAGCAGGCGTTTATCGGCTCGTTGCAGATGCGTCCACCATAGCCTTGCTTGCATTGACATTCGTTGGCGTGCTTGTACGTGGGCGAGGCGAAGCTGGCGACATCTGTGGAGTACGTATTTAACTTGCGCTTATTGAGGCGTATGCGATTGAAGCAGTCACCTTGCATGCAAATATTGCGCGCACAGGTAGGCGCCATTATCTCTTCCACCACCAGATTGGTGGCGTCCTCGATGTCGTCAATGAAATTCACCAGCACTGCGCGCACCTCGGCTGTGGTGAAATACTCCTCTGAGCTGGGCGTAATTTGTTGCTTGCGTACTGCGAATAAAATATTCAAATTATCGGCAGCCATAGGCGTCTGACGCTTACTCCGCTCCAGCATGACATTTTCCGAATCGTTGGGTTCCTTGTAAGTGGCATGGCTCGAGGCCGTTTGTATGGCAATGATGGTGATGTCTTTCTGGCGGCAGCGTAGTATGGCGCGCAAAGCGCGTATGAAACCTTTACGATGACTCAGTATGAACGCTTCGGGCGTAACTTTGCGAAAACTTATCACAACTGCATTGCGTGTCATATCGCCCGTTATAAGCTCCACATTCAGCTTGATAACTGCATGCGCTGTAAACTTGCCATCGGTGACTGTTACGTTAATGCGATACATGCCCACATCGAGGTTGCTGATGGCGTACAGGGAACCGTTATTTTGTGATATATTGAAAAGTTGCTTGGTCACGAACGACTCACCGCTGGTGGGCGTCAGCGCGTATATCAAATTGTCATACTTATCCTGATCGCTCGCATGTATGCGACCCAAGAAACCACCGATATAATCGTCGTCATAAGACTTCACAGTAACCTCCAACGGTGTTATCACAGGCGGATATTGGCTCTCTTCGATGATGCGCACATGCACCCAGGCGTCCGAATAGAGCGGCGGCGTGCCATTGTCAAAGACGCGCACCTGCAGCGTGTAAATGTCGCAGATTTTGTGATTAAAACGCGCCGCAGTACGCAGCCAGCCATCTTGCTCGATGCGAAAGAAACCGCCATCATTGCCGCTGCGAAGATCGAAGGTGTAGGGCGACGTGTTCGGCGGTTCATCGGCATCGGTGATTTCGAATGGCAGCACATTATAGCCCAACTGCTTGTTCTCCTGCAATACTACGCTGTAATTTTGCTGGCGGAAGAGCGGCGGATTGTCGTTCACGTCCATAATATCCACATAGATGCGCACATAGTTGCATAGCTCAGGCACGCCATTGTCGCAGGCCTTCACCTCTAGCAAGTAATTGGCATTTAACTCACGATCCAGCGCATTGATGACGATTATCTGACCAGAGAAGTCTTCTATGGCGAACTGATTGAGCTGATCGCCACGCTCTATATTATAGCGTATGATGCCATTTTGGCCCGAGTCCGCATCGGTAGCCAATACCTGTAGGATCCTTTTCATTTTAGATGCATCCTCCCGCACTTTCGCACGATACGTATTCTGCGTGAATTTCGGGCGATTATCGTTGACATCCAGGACCGAAATATTCACCGAAGCTATGTTGCTGAGCGGTGGCGTACCGCCATCAATCGCTTGCACGGTGAGAAAGTAAGCCTTTGTGCGTTCATAATCCAAATCATCATTTACATATACGCTGCCCGTCTTGGAATCAATGCTGAACTTATTATGCTCATTGCCGCCCACAATGAAGTACAGCACCTCCGCATTGACGCCTATGTCCTTTGAGGTCGCAAAGATGCGCACCACCTCCGAGTTGAGTGTGGCATTCTCGTACACATACGTGCGATACTCGCGCGTACTGAATTCTGGTGGATTATCGTTAATATCGAGCACGTTGATGATGAGCCTTGTGATTGTTAACTGCTTGGGATTGCCACAGTCCACCGCTTTAATAGAGATGTTGAATATGGAAATGCTTTCACGATCTAAACTTTTCGAGAGTTTTATAATGCCACTCGTGCGTGAGATGCTAAAGTTCGGCTGCTCTTCAAGGAATGAGTAAATGATCTTGCGATTGAGGCCGAAATCCTTATCGGTCGCATGCACTTTGGTCACAATGGTGCCGACAGGCGCATCCTCGGGTATGCTTACTATATACTGTGCCATTGAGAACTCTGGTCGATTATCGTTGAGATCATTGACGATGATAATCAACTCAGAGGTGCATACCTGCAGCAGCTCTTGGCCGTCTTGCGCATGCGCAGTTAAAATATAACGCGCATGCGTCTCTCTATCTATCGGCTTAGCCACACGCAAGGTGCCAGTGTCTTTTTCGATGAAGAAATCATCTGAGCGATTGCCTGTCAAATAGTAACGTAACTGGTTACCGCCATTCTCATCCAGATCCAATGCGTCGATTTGTATTAGGGGCGTACCCGCTATCACAGATTCGTTAATTCTCAAAGTGTAGCGCGGCGTCATACAAATCGGCACATTATCATTCACATCCTGCACCGTTATCACCACCTCAGTGGTGGCCACAAACTTGCCATCCGTTACAAGTACATGCAAGTTATAAGCTGCGATAGCCTCTCTATCCAGTGGCTTAGCCACAAAGAGTTCACCGGTTTTACCAATTTGGAATTGCGAAAATTTATCACCACTCATTATGTAAAAGCTCGTTATGCTCTTCTCGGCATCCAGATCGGTAATCAGGAAATATTTCAAAATGGTGCCAGGCAGCGCGTTCTCTTGCACTGCGATCTCGAATTTGTCCTGATTGAAAAGCGAGGGATTGTCGTTGTAGTCGATGATCTTGATGGTCACAGGCACCTTCGACACATGCTTCGGTTGGCCATTGTCAGTTGCGAGCACATTGAAGTGGTACTCCGATTGGGTTTCCCTATCCAGTGCGCTCAGCAAGGTTATCCAACCAGTGTAGATATCGATGTCGAAAACATTCGATGCAGTATTTGTTTCGTCTTCCAGATAATAGCGAATATCCCCATTCGATCCTGTATCCATATCGGTCGCTGTGATTTTTATGATCGAGGCGACTTTGTCGATATTCTCGCCTACATGCACATTGTACTCGCGACTATCAAACTTTGGTGAATTATCGTTTTCATCCAGCACTTGTATGTGGATTTCGCAAAAGGTAAAAAGAGGCGGTATAGTTTCTGTCTCCGCCATGGCAATCATATAGTGTACATCGTTCACTTCGCGATCGAGCGTTTGCATGAGTATTACTTCACCATTTTCGGAAATCGAAAACTTTCGACTTTCAATTGGTATTGAAAATTTCACAGAATAATTTCCGGAAAGCCGTAGTTTTGTCAAGACGGAACCCGGTGGCGTGGATTCTAAAACGTGCAGTTCAACGGAACGCTTTTCAAATTCCGGTACGGTAACATTGGCGCTGATGAATTGCACTGTAACAGGCACATCATTGTGGAACTGGGGGCTGCCACGATCCAGAGCGCGCACAAAGAACTGCGCGACATTGTTGGCGAGCTCTGTTATAGGTCTCAGCAGGCTCAAAGCACCATCGTGCTCATTGATAGCGAATATATCTTTGTAAGTTTCCGCCACTGTCGACTCGTCGATTGTGTACGTTAAACGCGCGTTATCATGCTCATCTATATCGAATGCTTTTACCTATGTAAATGAATAATGAAGGAGCAAAGTGAGGTTATGTGCAAAGTGAGGTTATGTTAAATAATAAATAAAAAAAATGGGAAGAAACTATAGGTTAGCTGGGGTCGCCGTACCCTAGTGGTTAAAGGTATGCACGTACTATCACTCGGCAGGATCCATGTTGGATTCCTACTCCGACCAATGTCCAAAAATAATATCGGCTACCTGTCGGCAGGCAGTGGCAAACCGCCAAGTGTATTTCTGACATGAAGCAGCGACGAAAAAGAAAAATTGGAGAGGAACTCCGAGGAGGAGTCCATCAGCGCGTAGAATTGCCAAATTTTTGCACGTTCCCACGACAGTCGGGTCTANGTCCATCAGCGCGTAGAATTGCCAAATTTTTGCACGTTCCCACGACAGTCTACGGGTCTACGTAACCGGAACAACCCAGATTTACATATATCTGGCCAAGGACTGTTACTCCAGCAACACTCCCCAAAAACTCTTTGGGGAACTTGTATGCTGTTACAACAACAACAGCCAAATGTTTGCACGAAACGTGTGTAATAATGTTTATAATTCTACTTCGGACCACTCCCACTCAACTTGTGCCAGGGTAAGACACAAGACCACTCGATTCTTCCAGCTGCTCAATGGGTGGATTGCATTTAATCAAGGGATGATAAAGGAAATTTTACAAGCACGAGTTGCAGTTTCGCAGAATACCTGAATTAGAACTTCGATGAGTACCAGGCCACAGTAATATTGCTGGGAACTTAATAGCGAACGAGCTCGTTAGGAAGCGTACCTCGAGGTGGTTTCATCGAGCTGACTACCTTACCACTAATCTTGAACAGATGAGTTTTACGCCAGTTTAGTGACGTAAGCAACTGCAATGTTCTTCTGGCCCTGGGTGCATCGGAGGCGGCGACCCCCTATAAAATTTTACATCTACACATAAAAGTCGCAATTCGAGGGTGTTGAGGTAGAATTCTCTTTGCACTCTAAGCTAATCAGCTTTTACATCCTAAATAGTTTCGAGGATCGCTCTGGGATAGATAACAGATAACTTCGAAACGTCGTTTTTGGCACGCAGAGCTTTTCCGAATAATCAGACAGATACCGTTTTAATCATAGTAGTCAGTGGTTCGCTCTACGCATTAACATTACCTTAATTAAATTTGTCGCACAGGAAAATGTTAGGACCAGACCCCTTTTTATGAATTTAATTGGCCATCTGCCAAATATTTAAACTATTAATAATAAAAATAATAATATATTGGCGCTTACACATATGTTAGTGTTTGGCCGAGCCTCTCCTCCGATTTGTGGCGTGCCTACAGTTTTGCGCCGACTCCGAACGGCGACTGTATTTTATTGAGAAGCTGTTTTTCATGGCAGAAATACACTCGGAGGTTTGCCATTGCCTGCCGAGGGGCGACCGCTGTTAAGAAAAAACCTTTTTTCTAAATTTTTTTTGCTATGTTGCTTTGACCAGGCCAGAAAATAGGGAGAAAGAAAATTTCGAAAGAAAACTACCCCTGGAGGAGAAACGAGACTCTTGATGAAGGAGTATAAAAGCATAGACAGACGGCAGCGTTGATCTGGATCATCTCGTTAATACGGAATTATGCCGTGAATTGACTGTAGTTGATCCAGATTTAGTCCTATAGTTAATTGTCGAACTTAATGCGGATCAGGGGCGTTTTCGATGACAAAACCGACAAAAACTCAGAGAACGTAGAATACAGAGAGGATGCAAAACTAGCCTGGACATCTACCTCGTCGTCACCATACTAAATCAGTCAGCATACTAATTCAGATAGGAATCCAATTGAACAAGAACTTATTTGAATTAGTATGATGAATGCATAATAGGGAGGTCCAAAATTATTGCGAGGGAAAAAAGTTTGAAATGTTAGGCTTTCACCCGCTAGGATTTTTCTAAATGGAAAAAGAATGTCCGTGTTTTTTTTTTTAATAAAATGATATGTAGAACTGCCTCAAAGCCCATGAAGACTTCCATGTACATATGTATTTTGTTTAGTATATAATTTTCTTAAAGATACTTCCAATAACAATACCCATTCGTTTATTTAAGCATTCTTGAAATATTGATTTTCAAGAATTCTATAGGTATCATTTCTATGAAAGGGTGTTTTCCCAAAATAAAATACTTGGTTCTCAATAANAAAGATACTTCCAATAACAATACCCATTCGTTTATTTAAGCATTCTTGAATATTAACTATTTTTTTAGGTCCTCCAGAAACCCCCAAAAAGGCAATGGGGGACCCATAAAAAATCGTTAGTATTAAAAAATTTTAAAATAAACAATTGGGTATTATTATTGGAAGTATCCTGAAAAGCAAAACGAAAAATATTGATTTTCAAGAATTCTATAGGTATCATTTCTATGAAAGGGTGTTTTCCCAAAATAAAATACTTGGTTCTCAATAATTTTTTTTTTAACAAAAAATATAAGTATTTAGTTTTTTTCATTCAGAAAGAGCTTAGGGGTGAGATCTTAACATTTTATACTATTTTTGTTGGGCCACCCTAATGCACAATCGCCGACAAGGTCCAGGCTAGTTTTTCTTGTTTTCTGTATTCTACGCTCTCTGAGGAAACAAGTAAGCCAACAAAGCAAATGCTCCCCACTTCGGGCAATCCTTAAAAATTATTTTTATTTTTCCTTTTTTTACACTTTTGTTTTGTCTTGCTTGAAGCCTCATGGTTAGGCTCACTAAATTTGTAAAACGATCCTATTTCTTTATCTTCTTCTTTATAAAAGTGTATAACTTTTTGAATGTAGCTTNAGCAAATGCTCCCCACTTCGGGCAATCCTTAAAAATTATTTTTATTTTTCTTTTTTTTACACTTTTGCTTTGTCTTGCTTGAAGCCTCATGGTTAGGCTCACTAAATTTGTAAAAAGATCCTATTTCTTTATCTTCTTCTTTATAAAAGTGTATAACTTTTTGAATGTAGCTTTACAGAGTATCGTCTTATCAACACACAACACTTTCACATTTAGGGAGTGTCGTATTGTTGTATGTCATAAACTTTAAACGGCTAAAACTATATTTAAGGAGTTCGCAAGCTAACATAAAAGTTTTATTATGAAATTTCACGCCGTTAAAAAATAGTTGATGGTAGTTGANTTACAGAGTATCGTCTTATCAACACACAACACTTTCACATTTAGGGAGTGTCGTATTGTTGTATGTCATAAACTTTAAACGGCTAAAACTATATTTAAGGAGTTCGCAAGCTAACATAAAAGTTTTATTATGAAATTTCACGCCGTTAAAAAATAGTTGATGGTGATTTCAAGTCCTCTAAAAATTTATTTAGCCGTTAAGAACTTTACAACATACGATAATACGACACGTACGACACCTTGTGAACCACCCAATTATGTCTGAGTATTTCTCTAAGGTCAAGATATCCGAACAGATGAATGATTTTTGTATTTTTAAAAAAACATATGAACTAAATAAATCGCTTACTTACCTTCAAAAGTGTGAAATTAATTGGTGTATCGACATTAACTACAAGTTTATATTCCTTAACCATGAAGCGCGGACTATTGTCATTTACATCTTCAACTTTGATTTTCAAGAGAGCATAATCTGCCTTGCCACCTTCGTCAGAGACCCGCACTAGTACGTCGTAGAAAGCGCGTTGCTCCCGATCAAATGCCACTTTGGTTGTAATGGAACCATTGCTGCCATCAATTTCGAAATACTCTTTGAATTCTTCTGAGACCAGATCATAAGTGAGTTTAGCAAAGCGTCCAAAGTCAGCGTCGTATGCATGAAGCTATAGAAATGAAATCGGAAGATAATTTCAATATTATAAGCTTTAGCATTAGTAGGTGCCAAGTACTCTTACATAAAATAAGAATCGAATTTGCGCAAACTTACCAAAACGATATTCTTTCCAGCTGCCTCATTTTCCCTCACACTCGCCTCATAGCTCGATTTCAAAAACTTTGGTGCATGATTATTTTCCGGCATAAGTATGATTTTTACCCTCGCATAAGTTGTGTGTACACCATCGCTAACGGAAACATTTAGCAGAGTCTGATGATGATCCGTGAAATTTTGCATATTTTGTAGCGTGATAATGCCATTATTTTCATTAATCGTATACGTTTGCAATTCATTGCCGTCGATTATACGATATTTAAGCCGATCGTTATCTTCATGATCGGGATCATAGGCTCTTGCATTGATAACGAATTGGCCACGTTGTGCATTCACTGATAGACGACTCGAGAAGGAAGCCTCCGTAAATTTTGGAAAATTATCATTGAGATCCCTTACTGTAATCCATACATTTGCTCGCGAACTTAACGATGGCGTACCATGATCTTTCACCACCAGTATGATGTGATGGTAAGTACTTTCTTCGGCATCTAAATTACTTTTCAAATATAGATATCCCTCTGACATGTCGATGTAAAAGAGTGCAGAGTTATTTTTACCATCGACGCTATCAATAAAATATGATAATTCGCTATTTGCATTCGCATCACAATCGGTTGCATTCACTTTCATTATTTGTGAACCGATTATGAGATTTTCAGATATGGTAATGTTGTAATTGGCTTGTTCGATTTCTGGATAACAATCATTGGCATCTTCGACAATTATTGACACCGTTACCTCGGCATAGATACCAGAGAGCGAATCGGTGGCACGCACCATAAATTCGTGGCTTTGCTTTGTCTCATAATCCAACTCGTTAACGATGTAAATGACGCCTAAAAAATAAACAACACAAGAGCGGAAATTATAGTGGAACTACAACTTTAAACTGCAAAAGGTCTTCAGCTTTTCGAAAGTCTTGAATCGTTTGGTTGAATTGTCTAAATTTTTATGGAAAAGTTACATTATTTTACACAAACACATACATGGGGAAAAATTACCGCACACCGAGTTGGCGACTATCAAGCTCGGTGTGAAGACCCTTATTATATACACATTTTGACAGTTCGATAAAATTTTCAACAACTTTGAGGTTTTCTAGTTCGCATAAGTAATCTTAATGTCTCCACCACTTAACTTACCAGTTCGGTAATCAATTTCGAATACTTCGTCCTCATTTCCGCTGGATATTGTATAAATTAATTTCCGTTTAAGCGGACTTTCGGCCAGTATTGCTATGGAGAGTGCTGAAAATAGTTCGGCATTTTCCTTTACGACATCGGAATAAAATTGTTTATCGAACGTGGGCATAGAGCGGTCAACAACCTGGGAAGGAGTTCAAATGAAAGCAGGTTAAAATGACTTTATAAAATTTATGAAGGCTAATATGAGGTTTCCGTCCAACCAACAACTACCGTATAGTCGAGTATTAGCGTATACCTACCCAGAAAACTTTATCCTACGATGATTATTTGTTAGGTTCAAAATGTGCTGATATATGTTTTAATCTCAGAAAAAGGTGAATTAGTTCGTGCGATGATTTATTACGAGTTCGACGTGATTAACTTAACGCAACGACTGTTGTTGTTGGCTTATGCCGATGACATCGACATCATCGGTAACAAAAACCGCGAAGTCTGTTCTGCCTTTTCCAAGTTGGATAGGGAAGCAAAGCGCATGGTGGTAAACGAGGACAAGACGAAGTATCTCCTGTCATCAAACAAACAGTCAGCACATTCGCGCCTTGGCACCCACGTCACTGTTGACAGTTACAATTTCGAGAAAGTAGAGAATTTCGTTTACTTGGGAACCAGCATTAACACCGATAATAATGTCAGCATTGAAATCCAACGTAGAATCACTCTTGCCAACAAGTGCTACTTTGGACTGAGTAGGCAATTCAGGAGTAAAGTCCTCTCTCGACGTACGAAAACCGCGCTCTATAAGTCACTCATCATGCCCGTGCTGGTATATGGCGCAGAAGCATGGACAATGACAACATCCGATGAGGCGGCTCTTGGAGTGTTTGAGAGAAAGATTTTGCGGAAGATTTACGGGCCTTTACGCGTTGGCGACGGCGAGTACCGCAGACGATGGAACGATGAGCTGTATGAGCTTTACAACGATATGGACATAGTGCAGCGAATTAAAATACAGCGGCTCCGCTGGCTTGGTCATGTCGTTCGAATGGACACCGACGCTCCAGCTCTGAAAGTATTCAACTCGGAACCCGCTGGTGGTAGCAGAGGAAGAGGGAGGCCCCCACTGCGATGGAAAGATCAGGTGGAGAAGGACTTGGCTTCTCTTGGCGTTTCCAATTGGCGTCAGTTGGCACAGAGGAGAAAGGACTGGCGTGCTTTGCTGCACTCGGCCAAAATCGCTTAGGCGGTTACAGCGCCAAAAAAGAAGAAGAAGAAGAACGACTGTTGACGGCAGCGTTACTTGAGCTAATCTGCTCTTCTACCAGAGTGCCAGGCCTCTTGCTCAATTCGGTGAATACCTATACTCTATGGATTTCCATATAAGCTACGATTCTAAATACATCTACCCTTGACACACTTATTAGCTCTGCTGTTATTTTCCTGCTATAGTCAAGCCAAAGCTCACGTGCTTTATTACGAGTCTGCACCTCCTCCTTGCTGTTTTCAGAAAGTGCAAGGGGATTTCTATTTGTATTTGTACATTTAAAAAAGCTCCCACCTTGACCAAGTCGTCTGCTCTATGTTCCTACGATCGGGAACACAGTCAAGAGAGATGGACATTGGTGGTGATTTCGTTTCTTCCAAAAATTTTTGCCCTTCCACGGTGCAAAATGTGGACATGTTTTTGCCTTCTTGTCCATGTCTAGCTCACGCATTTCAAAATATTGTCGTTTTAAGCAACCATTTGATTTTCAGGGAAACCTTCTCCCGAGACAAATCTAGGGCCGACTTTGAACGGCGATTTTTTTTTATGAGAAGCTGTTTTTCGAGGCAGAAATTGACTTGGAGGTTTGCGCACTTCTAATCACTACACTACAGCAGCCTACATACGACACCAATATTCAGAAAATTTTGTTTTTGAATTTTGGTATTTATATTTGGGATATTGAGTCTTTTTATTCCGATATTAATAGGTACCCGTTATTTTTAGCGCGATACTTTGATTGAGTACCATATCGATACCTTCGGTTCGATATTGTCCCTAGGCAAATCTTCAAAGGGCAGAGAATGTGCCTTTTTGGCCTTAAAGATTGTGACATTTTAAGAAACGAACACACAATTTTTTCACCGTTTGCCTTTATTTTAGAATCGAGCACGAAAAGAGTTAGGCGCAGTGAAAGGCCGACATTTTTTCATCTACAGGCCTCACATATGCCTATGACTTCAGCCTAAAACATGCTGGCATGGTTTGCCAGCCGCAGGTAGCGATTTACACCCCAGCAAACATTGAGGTTAGTTATCCATTAGAGAATGATTGGAGAACAAGCCACATTCTCAAATCTCAAACGTTGGAGAACGACTCGAGAATTATAGCGATCTCAACAAAAAATTGGACATAGTTCTCGACTCGAGAAAATATTAATTCTCTAATCGTATTCTAATGTTGATCTCTAATGGGATTCGAATGTGAAATTTTAAACTTCTGTTTAGCTTTCTTAAACAAAACGCTTTGTTTGTAAAATTTATATTAAATGTATTTGCAATAAAATAATAATGAGTTATTTGAACTAAAAATTATTTATGATTAATGCATTCGGAATATTGCTTATTTACATTTATTTGAATTTGCGTTGTTTCTCTAATTGTTCTCGAATCGAATTCTAATGTACTTCTTTAACTTTGTCATCGACTCGAGAACGATTAGAGAACTACCCTTGTTATCTAATATAGATATCCAAATTTATCTAACGTTAGAGACTGTATTTGCTGGGACCCTACCCCTACACGGCAGTCCATCTTGGACCCGTTAGAGGTCTTCTTAATTATCAGCTTGGGCCTTTCTCAATTCCCTTCTGGATACAAGCACAAGTGGTTTTATGCTTAGTACATTGTGGTATGCTTTGGGTATAGATAAACTTTTCTCCTTCAGTCCAGTTTATCATTTAAAATTTTCGGGTTGATAGAGCATCCGAAGAACTGCCACAGTGATGCCGACTGACTCATTTTTATTCCCACACATAAAAAAATCGTGAAAACTGAAGAAGAGCTTAAAGCCCGTGTTTAGCGGACTAGAAAATGTGCTGCGACAGAGGGTTCGAGCGCATGCAAAACTGTTTAAAACTTAATGGAGAATATTTTGAAAACAGTGAGGACAATTTGGTTAATATTGTTTGTATTTTTTTCATTGTTGGGAGAAAATTGTTGAGATCAGCTCACGTACGAACTAATTGTTTTTAAGTTTATATATTATGTACTAAGTGTCGTTTTCTCAAGTAATCTGTAACTTTAAAGCGCACTTTATATTTAAAGGTAGTGATGGCAAAAAAATTTAATAATCGATTAATCGGTTAATTGATTAATCGAAAGCATTCGATTAATAATTGCAATTAATCGTAAGAAATTAATCGATTAATCGGTCATTTCGATTAAAATCGAAAATTAATGAAAACCATTTATAAGTTATAAAAACTGACTTACACTCCGTGTCAAAATTATAGCGGACGACAAGATTTTTTGTTTGTTAATTAATTTTAGTTATTTTTGTTTAAGTGACTTGCGCCTACTTAAAGAAAGCATCCCTGCTCAGCTTTATTCTTCAACGCATCCCTGTGTAAATACTCAAGAAAAGCATCCCTACTTGGAATTTTACTTTCGAACTTCCAATGCTGGGTATAAATGCGCTAAGCGCATTTCCAACGTCCCTTCTTTCAACATCTACCAGACATCAGGAGACATCGGTGCGATCAACCATACCATCAAATATCAACGTGGGAGCATCGAGTTACCAATCCAACCGTTCGTATATCGAACACCCAGTTTCCAACATCATAACTTCCGAGTACCCGAGATCGTGGGGACGCTGACGACATATAATCATTTGCCCATCCTATCATCTAATTGCTAAGTATCAACTAATCTACTCCTAAATTCATTTTGTAAACTTTCATATCAAATCACTCATTCATTCTTTACATTCATTCCTATTCAACTTATGTATGTTAAATCTCTTTTAATCTTACATTAAACTATTATTAAATCTCTAAACTGTAATACTTTTCATTAACCCAAATTAAATTAAACTAAAATTGAAATCCAATTCACCATACATTTGTTCAATTTCTTTAAATATAGCTTATTCTGTAGCAAAAAAACGTATAAATATAAATATATCAAACTTTGTGCAATATTAAAAAAATCAACAAAAAATTCCAGCTTTTTAGTTAGATTTCTTAGAAAGATTTTCAGTACGCAGTTTTGTAGCCCATTAAAGTTTTGTATGAAAAATTCCAAGACTGAAGTATCTGGCACTTACCGCTGCTTTTTGGTATTTTTCTGTTTGGTAATGGTGTTGCTTATTTTCTTCCATATAAAAAAGGGATTTTTTAGTAGCTACTTAGGTTAAGCTTGTGTTGCGGTTTTTGGCAGAAATATCGTATAAAATATTTGAAGAATACGAGAATGTAAAAAACATCTCAACGTATTTTGATTCATACGTTATTGTGTAAGTAAATTAGTAAATTTTTGATGGTTTCTTTTCGATTATTTTGAAAAATTAATCGGTTAATCGCTCGATTTATCGAAAGGAAAATTTCGATACAATTAAATCGTTAACCGAATGAAAATAACCAATTATAGTCGGTTATTCGATTAATCGTGCCATCACTATTTAAAGGTTACATCAAAATTTGTGATTGTGTCTAAAGTAAATCACTTTATTATCGGTTTTAAATTGTTTTACAAAAACGAAACATACATGCGTCAAAAACCAATAATAGAAATACTTAACTTTAGACATAGTTTTATTTTTAATCCAATCTTTAAATATAAAGTGAGCTTTAGAGTTAAAGGTTACTTCAGAAAACGGCCCTAAGTAAAGCAAGTTTTAACAACTCTAGGTGAACGCAAAGCAAACTCTGCACATTTATGTATGTACATATGTACGTATTTAGACAGTTTATATATTTTTTCACACTATAAGTAATAAACTCAACACTCACCTTTATGTTAACCGCTGCATCTGTAGAACACGGAGAAATTGCACCATCGTATGCAGCGATAATCAAATCGTACACTCTGGTACTACCATCGATATTTTGCTTCAACACCAATTCACCCGACTTGCGATCCACTTTGAAAAGCTCACCGTTTCCTTTCTTCATTTCGTAACGCACTTCACCATTTTCATAACTATCCAAATCCACAGCCTTCACCTTTGTTATCACTGTACCTTTGGCATCATCAACAGATAGTGTGGCATAATAAGGTAAATTCACGAAGATTGGACAATTGTCATTCACATCGAGTATGGATATTTCAACACGCACAATAGCACGCCGCATCTGTTTGTATTTTTCGTATAACAGTAAAGAGCGTGCTTCGACCACTATTGTGTAACTGTCTTGACTTTCGCGATCAAAAGGTAAACCGGTCGTTTTTATAGCACCCGATGTCTTGCCGATGACAAACATTTTTGTGGGACTCAGAATGGTGAATTCGATATTTTCATGCAGTAGATTACCCACAACATTAACCAGCCCTACTGTGACAATTTTGGAAGAATTTTCGATTGTTGAAAATGTGTAGAATGGTTTTTGGAAAACAAAGCCTGGTGTGGTTAGGGTTTCAATGTTTATATCAATTTGTGCAATAGCCGAATATAGGCCATCGGAAGCGCGAATGTGTAGGGTATAAAATGTGTCCAAACGCGTTATGTCCCTAAAAAATTAAGGAAAAAAACTATAGTTACCCTGTGAACATTAAATGTAATATATTATAACATATGTATGTACATTCGGTGGGCTTAACAAAAAAGTTGCTGTTTTCCAGCGCAATTATAAAACTTATTATATTTAAAGAATTACGTCAAATATTTCGGAAAAATATTAAAACTAACGTGAGCTGGAATGAGATTTTTGAACCTTTTATCTAATCGGTTCAGTTCACGTAAATCCTAAAATTCGTTCGACATTTTTTGGCGAAAGTCTTAAAATATAATAAATTCTTCAATTCCGATGGAAAACATTAGTGATGAACCCTAATTTATATAAGTCTGCTTCAAAATAGTGTGCAAGTTAGTTCGGAGGCGCTCAGTTCGAGTCCGAACTTAGTTCATTCGTTCCAATACCAAAAATACTGAAAAACTGCTTAAAATTTTCAAACTACGCAGTTTCACACTTTAAACTAATCTTTATTAAAATCGAATCGAGATCGAAAGAATTCCAAAAAATACCAAAAATATAAAATAAACTTATTAAAAATTAGTACTAAAAATGTATTTAAAACTATGATAACATGTAAACATTGAAAAATAAAATATGAATGAGAAAAGCTGGCGTGAAATAAAGTTTCTAGATTTTATTTCAATACAAAAAATACACGGCATAAAATTTTAAAAAAGCATTTTAGAAAGTGCGCGTAAGATTTTCTTCAGGAGAGACTTTTTTAGTTTCTATCAAAAATTGGGCTAATAAAAGTAAATTATAGATTTTAATTAAAAATTAAAATTTTCAGTGGAAAGGTACGAAAAGGTGAAATTACGAGAATAAAATTATAATGGTTTCAATCAGCTGTGTTAAAATAACGCATTTACATTTTTTTAGATAAAAATCACACTTAAAAAAGTTGGTGAACAAAAAAAGTACATACACTGAAATTTTTTAAATTTGAGTTTCAGTAAAAATTAAATTTTTTGCCTAAATTCGAGAAATTGAAAAAACTATATTACACAATTTTTTATTTTGCTAAAAAAATTACCCTGAAAAGGTGTTGTTTAAAATTAAGTTTCAACAAAAAAAATTATAATTAAAAAATCGAAATTTATTTATTTTTTTCAACTAAAAGTGGACTACTAAAACGTTAAACATTTTTTAATTACACTAAAAAATTTTAAATGTAAAAAGTACACTAGATGCCTTTTTAATTAAAACTGGATTGTTTCTAATTTAAAATAAATTTTTTTTATCTTAATTCGAAAAAATTCTAATTTTTTATTTTATTACAAAAAAACTCGCAAAGTATTTAAGAACAAAGTTTAAAAAGTTTAAAATAGAAAACTACTCCTAGGATTTTCTTCAAAAAATGAAAAATTTTTAGTTTAAATCAGAAAATTATGGGAAAAGTATAAATTTTAGACTTTAAATTAAAATTGCAATGTAACAAAATTACAAATTTTTAAACCGAAAAATATTATTTTTTACTTTCAATCAACTGTAGTAAAATAATACATTTTTTTAGTGACTTATATAAAAAAAAACACTGGAATTTTTTTAGACTAAAGTTTTAATAAAAATAAGTTTTGTGCCTAAAATCGAAAACTAGAAAACCTCTTTTACATAATTTGTTTTCAATTACAATAAATACACTTAAAACGTGTTTAAAAAGGAAAAAGAAAAAACACACAACTGCTTTTAAATAGTTGAACTCCACTGGCTTTTGAAGATTTTGAGCCAGTTTTAAAGTAGGGGTCTTCACAGCGAGCTTGGTACTCGGTGTTCAGTAATGTATTTTGTTTGTATAAATTATTTTATTATCGATGTACTTGTTACCGCATTATCGCGAAGGAAGCTTGATAATTTTTCTTGTAGTTGGTAAACTGCAATCAGCTGTTCGATATTTATTCAATTTTAAATCCGCCCGCTGCCGAAAGGCATAACGCATGTGAGTAAGTAAATTTCCTTAAATTTTCTGTTACAATTTATGTTTTTTTTTTTAGAAAAAAACTACGAATCCGCTGTTAGTAAACATAGTTTAGCAGACTAACAAAAGAAAATTGAAAAAGACGTTCACAGTTGAATCAATTACCGAGTGCCAACCAGCAATTAACCAAAACTACCAAAATGGACGTGCATACATACATACATATTTAATTAATGGAAAAACTAAAATAAAAAATTGTCATTACGGGGGAAAAATCTTTAAATCGTCATTGAGCTAAAAAAAAACGTCAAAATGATGACGAAATCGCCAATTCGGCAACGCTGCTCACCGAATCTAAATTACAATATATGTATGTAGGAAACACTATCATAATTTCTATATAAAATGAAATGTGTACCATTAGTGCCAATGAATTTATGTACCTTGTCGTTACGATTCCCGTTGTAGCATCGATTTCGAAACAACCATCTGGATTTCCATCAATAATGTCATAACGTATTTTCGTATTTTCATCCAAATCGGCATCGGTAGCATTCACTTCACCTATCATGATATTTTCATATGTGGGTTGATACAGGGTGACATTCATGTAGTTTTTATTGAAAACCGGCGGGCAATCGTTGATATTTTCAACATCGATATGTATACTTGAGTGATATTTGGCATATAATTTTGGTGTGCCCAAATCGTTAATCTAGCAGGGAGAAAGCGAGAGAGAAAGAGTAAGTAATGATAAAAAGAGTGATCGGTTTTTATGAAAGGGGAAATAACAGGTTGGGCTACATAACCACTCTGATGGAAGAGATAAGTGAATAGCTACGGGAAACCGTGAATATGCAAACTTACGCAAATGTTTAGAGAAGCGGGTATATATATTTATGTGTACAGTGTATTTATATTTATGCGTATAAGTATTAATTATACATAAATAATAGTTATAAACTTACCATAACGTCAAATCGAAAATATTTATTTTTTTCATAGTCCACTTGTTTTAACAGTTTAATAGCTCCCGTAGAGGAATCGATTTCGAAATATTCCTTAGCTTGATTATTTAAAATTGTAAATTCAATCATACTGTTAACGCCTTCATCTAAATCCTTTGCTGTTAATAGAAGTGGTCTGTAGAATACAACAAAAAGAATACGCATTAGATTCTGGGTATATAAATATTTTACGAGTGAAGATTATCTGGCGATGATAGAATTCCCACCAAAATTAAAAAAACAAGTAAGAAAGTCTAAGTTCGGGCGGAGCCGAACATTAAATACCCGGTGCAAGTATTAAATATATGTTTTTTCACCCTTCCGAAACCTTCCGCTAGATGGTAAGCNCATTTATGTATACATTTGTCTATATCTATCTCGATTCGTTTTGGCTGTTACAAACAACCGTTATGTGAACAAAATTAATATACCCTTGTGCACAAGTGCGCTCGGGTATAAAAATATCCAAGTCTAAAAATTATAAACCTTTTGGAGACGATTAGAGCAGAGTGGGTGGCTTCCTACACACGGGGCGAGAGCATTTTTAAGTTTTTCATACGTTTTAGGGGAGCATGCGCAGCAAAAAATCTTACTCTGGCTAACAGCTCACATTTCCTCTGCTCAATAGCGAACTTCCCTCCGAAAAAAATAGTAAACTCATCTTTAATTATACAAAATCGCAACGTATGTATGTACATACATATCTACATATATACATATGTATTTTCTACTAAATGAAATACACTACAGAAAATATATGCATCTAATTTTTATGTATGGTAGATGGCCCAAAATGATATAAAATCGGTTTGCAAAGCGTGCTGCAGGAAGTTTTCGGCACATGTCCGGATATGAAGAGATTTTTGTATTTCTCCTTCTTGCGCAGCAAAGCAAAATGGTTATACGTATCGAAAGCGGTATCGGGATCCTCGCACATTTTTTCATAGGTCATGTCTATGTCTCGACCGTCCACTTGCACAGCCATTTCACGTACCACATTACGTTTACGAAATATGCGTCGTGGTCGAAACCGCTCTCTTCTGCTTGGTATGGGTGGCATTTTTTGATTTTTATTACTTTTGATTAATAATTTTTTTATTTATTGCTGACTCTGTTGAAGGCTTTGCAAATGAATTTGAAAGAAAACGAGTTGCCGTGGTGGTATTCATGATAAAAACATTACAAGGTAAATTCATTCTCTCAATTCGTCGGCCATGATTTTGTTCTGACGTTTGCCAACATTTTAAAATCATATAAAATTGAAAATAAAAAAATTAAATTGTTCACAATTGTTGTTGTTTGAGATTGAAAATGAGAATGTGTGTGTGAGTTTGAGTTTTGATTTTAAAATTATATTGTTGGCAAACGTCAGACTGCCTCTCAATGGTTTTACCTTGTTATGTTTTTATCATGGTAGTATTTATTTTGTATTTATTAAATTGCAGCTAAAAAAAAATATTTATTCCTTCCGCAGGGACAGAAAAGAACCATTAAATACCAAGATTTTTAATTTTTTTAGATATTTGCCAAAATCGTTAATTTTTTATTTATATTTTTATTTTTGACTCAAGAATAATCGTTAAAATATTACTTAAAAAAAAAATAATAGTCTAGTTAGTGTAGACTTAAAGTAACATACGTAAGAAATCGCCAATGATTGCTCAACACGTCAACTTAGCCAGAAGCAAAAATATTTTGTTCTTGTATTTTCCTCTTCCCCATAGCCCATAAGCCTCATAAAAAAAACCTTTAACAAAAATATATTGCTTTGTCCAATATATTAGGTTACGTTACGTCAAGTGTAGACTAACTGAACCTTAACTTTATTGTTGGAATTTAATTTATGCGATAATTTTTAGGACTGCGCTTTAGATCCCTACGTTTGTGCGAAACTTCGAGACGTACGCCACAAATTGATTGATACATATTTTCCATACATACATTCCGGTTGATTATCGATAAAGCTACATACATACGTACATATCATCCTTAAAAGTACAAAACCGCGTATCAACAAAATGCAAAACCGCGTTTCAAGATAATGAAAAACCGCGTATGTGAGGTTGCATAAATTATTTTTTTAGAGAGTAAAAATAGTCATATTTCAAAATGGTTCTCTCTTTTGTAAAGCAATCGTTNAAAATCGTTAATTTTTTATTTATGTTTTTATTTTTGACTCAAGAATAATCGTTAAAATATTACTTAAAAAAAAAAATAATAGTCTAGTTAGTGTAGACTTAAAGTAACATACGTAAGAAATCGCCAATGATTGCTCAACACGTCAACTTAGCCAGAAGCAAAAATATTTTGTTCTTGTATTTTCCTCTTCCCCATAGCCCATAAGCCTCATAAAAAAAAACCTTTAACAAAAATATATTGCTTTGTTCAATATATTAGGTTACGTTACGTTAAGTGTAGACTAACTGAACCTTAACTTTAATTTNAAGCAAAAATATTTTGTTCTTGTATTTTCCTCTTCCCCATAGCCCATAAGCCTCATAAAAAAAACCTTTAACAAAAATATATTGCTTTGTCCAATATATTAGGTTACGTTACGTCAAGTGTAGACTAACTGAACCTTAACTTTATTGTTGGAATTTAATTTATGCGATAATTTTTAGGACTGCGCTTTAGATCCCTACGTTTGTGCGAAACTTCGAGACGTACGCCACAAATTGATTGATACATATTTTCCATACATACATTCCGGTTGATTATCGATAAAGCTACATACATACGTACATATCATCCTTAAAAGTACAAAACCGCGTATCAACAAAATGCAAAACCGCGTTTCAAGATAATGAAAAACCGCGTATGTGAGGTTGCATAAATTATTTTTTTAGAGAGTAAAAATAGTCATATTTCAAAATGGTTCTCTCTTTTGTAAAGCAATCGTTTTTCTGGCTAGTATATTTCGGGACGAATGGATAAGGATTGAGCCAAGAGCTTGTGCGAACAAATCCAATTTTTGGCAGCAAATGTCAGTTACGCGGTTTTGCAGAATGACGATACGCGGTTTTGTACTTTAAACGACGATATGTATGTACATAATATGGCATAAGAATTTACCTCTTTTGTGGATCATTTTTTCGAANCAATGATTGCTCAACACGTCAACTTAGCCAGAAGCAAAAATATTTTGTTCTTGTATTTTCCTCTTCCCCATAGCCCATAAGCCTCATAAAAAAAACCTTTAACAAAAATATATTGCTTTGTCCAATATATTAGGTTACGTTACGTCAAGTGTAGACTAACTGAACCTTAACTTTATTGTTGGAATTTAATTTATGCGATAATTTTTAGGACTGCGCTTTAGATCCCTACGTTTGTGCGAAACTTCGAGACGTACGCCACAAATTGATTGATACATATTTTCCATACATACATTCCGGTTGATTATCGATAAAGCTACATACATACGTACATATCGTCCTTAAAAGTACAAAACCGCGTATCAACAAAATGCAAAACCGCGTTTCAAGATAATGAAACACCGCGTATGTGAGGTTGCATAAATTATTTTCTAGAGAATAAAAATACTCATATTTCAAAATGGTTCTCTCTTTTGTAAAGCAATCGTTTTTCTGGTTAGTATATTTTAGGACGAATGGATAAGGATTGGGCCAAGAGCTTGTGCGAGCAAATCCAATTTTTGGCAGCAAAAGTCAGTTTTGTACTTTAAACGACGATATGTATGTACATAATATGGCATACGAATTTACCTCTTTTGTGGATCATTTTTTCGATATACGAAGGAACCAACTTTAGCAACCTCCGAAATGGTGCCATTGTATGTAGTTTTTTCGAAATATGGTTCATTGTCGTTAATATCTAAAATGTGAATGATTATATTGTGCGTGGAAGTAGCTGATGCCATATTCGTTGCGATAATGGTTAGATTAAATGATCTGTGAAGATAAAAAAGATTTATAAATAGGATTTAGTATTTTTTCTTTAAGCTAAACAACGTTTTCTTGCTTACTTATTCTTCTCATAATCAATGATGTCATTCGCCGTTATCACACCGGTCGAGGGATTGATACGAAAGCTATCGCCTTCGTCGCCATTCGCTATCTCATAGAAAACAGATGATGAAGAACGTGCCTCTACTTGGCAAACAAATGTGCCAACGGGTATGCTTTCATAGATTTCAATCACATTCAATGGCGCCATGAAGATGGGCGGATCATTTTCGGACATAGTCACAATAATGTGTAGCGGCATTTGTGAGGAGAGCGGTGGTTCGCCGAGATCTGTGGCCTTGATTTGCAACATATATTCTTGCATTTTATTAATATTCAATCTCTTGGCCAACGTAACAATACCCATCGTTGAATCAATTTCAAAAGTATTGCCAATATTACCAGTTATAATGGAATATTTCACTTCAGCATTTTTACCACTATCCAAGTCCAAAGCGGTTAGCTCGGCCACCTTTGAACCGATCGCTGCGCTCTCCGGCACCTTACTTTGCACAATTTTGCTCATAAATTCTGGATGATGATCATTATGATCATGCACGGTTATCACGATTTTCGCATAATTTCGCTTGGCGGGAGTACCTTGATCCTTAGCGATTACTATCAAAGTGTGATGCCTATTCTTTTCATAATCCAAACGTTGTGTGACCAGCACATTGCCACTGATGGAGTCTACACGAAATAATGCGAGCGACGATGGATCTTGTGCGGCATGGAGTGTGTAGAAAATTTTATTATCTTCATCTTTATCTGTTGCATGCAGTTGCATAATAATGGCTTCCTCTTCGATATTCTCGGATATATTTACATAGTATATATCTTGTGTGAATTGCGGACGATTATCGTTGATGTCGACAACGTGTATATACAAATTGGTGTTAGTGATATGTGTGCCATCGGTAACGCTAACGGTTAAGTTGTACGAATCCTGTGTCTCACGATCCAAACTTTTCGATAGTAAAATGTGACCGTTATCCTTACCAATGTAGAATTCATTGCGTTCGTTGCCACCTGTTGTAAAAGAGAAAAGGAGTGTTTATAGAATTTGGTATCGATATTTTTTTCGTTATCGACTTAAATGTCGTTATATTAGGTGCGTTCGTTTAAAATCTCCAACAGAAACCAACCAACTGCCAAATTCCGGCGAAATGTCATCTGTTCGCTCACAAGAGAGAAATATCCAAAATAGTACGCGAACAGAAAATTTGCAGAAACTTGCAAGTTAGACGAACAGCTGATATAATTTTTGTTTACATACAAAAGTGTAAAATTTAAAACGTACGAAAAGTCATCGCAAAGTGTTATACTGACACAGTTTATTGATTAAACAAATAACTACTTATTTCTTACAAGTTTAATTTGTCGCATTTTGTAATTTTTATCTTCCAAACCATCAAATTAAATTTTGTGATTTGCGTAAATGCCAACCAGCTGTTTTTGATCAGCTGTTTCCCTGTTGGCAAATTGCTGTTGGCAAAAATTTTTCCAACAGAAACTAACAGCTTCCCCTCAAAATGAAATGTCACTTTGCTCTCTCAATTTCCCCTACTTTGCAAGTTTTTTGCGTACGCGAACGCAAAAACCTGTAAGTTTTGGTTAAACATGAACAATTAACAGCTACGCGAACGAACCTATTTTCAGATGTCGGAAAATTCGATGCAAATTTTTTTTGATTTTTCTATTATTTCAGGATAAATATATATAACTCAATCCTTATGTGTAAAATAAAATTGATATAAAAAATCGATAATAACTGTAAAAACTATGTGGATAAAAATATCTACAAATAATTTACGATATCGATATATAATATTGGCAAATACTTAAAATTAACCGATAATTATTTAAAGATCGCGATTTATTCTTATATACATAAATATGTATGTATTAAACCAATTTAGGGGGAGTTCTCACTTCAAAGTTATGCACCCAACATTGTGTTTCACATAAAAATCTCATGAGCTCTGAACATACTAGAGTTATTCTCTTCTTCTACTTGTTTTACTGCCCTGCACACTTACCAGTCAAGTTATACCACAAATGATCGTTGTCCTCATCACTCGCCTGCACAAGCGCCACCAAAAAACCTGGCCTATCACTTTCCGTTACATCTATACGACTATCATCTGCCTTTATAGTGGGTGCGTGTGGTGAATTCGTAGATATAGATATGACGACTATATTTAATTTGGCATTTTGACTACGTTTCGGATTTCCATTATCTTCAGCGCGTATATTCAAATCATATTCTGCATCGTTTTCGAGTGGTTTCATCAAATAAATGAAACCTGTATCGGGATCCATGCGAAAACGATTCTTGCCCTTACCCGATTTGATATAGTAAGTAATGCGTCCATTTTCGCCGATATCATTATCTATTGCGCGAGCCTAGAAATGGTAATAGCTTATAAAGTCTACACAACCTTTTTAATCTCCTTTATAATTTAAATACCTGGAAAATCGTTTCATTTATATCTACAGTTGAGGGAACTTGAATTTTATAAAAACGCTGCTCGAATTCTGGGCTATGATCGTTGATATCTTCCACTGTAACCACAACTCTTGTGGTAGAAGTCAGAGTGGGTGTGCCGTTGTCAGAAATGGAAATCTACAATGGAAAGATAAGAGATGCCGTGTTTTTTTATTGCTGGTATTTTATATATAGATTGGACAATAAGCTTGACTGAGTACCTCTAATATATGCTCTGCTTGGTTTTCTCTATCCAATTTTCTTTCCGTGGTTGTTAGATCACCTGTAAAATAATGTTTTTAACTGCAGTTCAGCACTATCAATTGCATAATAAGTTTACCTGTAGTTGAATTTAATTCAAAGAAACCTTCCGGATTTCCCGACGTTATGCGATAAGTGAAGAACTGAGCTGGGTTTTTGTCATTGTCGAAAGCATTTAGTTGAATAACCGGTGTATTCTCTGGACTACCTTCCAAAACCGACACGTAATAGACTGGTTTATCAGTCAGCGGCACATTGTCGTTCTCATCCTCCATCTGAATGTTGACCTGGATGATGTGAAATTTAAGTAGAGAAATATTGCGTTAGGGGGGTGAAGTTTTAGTATCAGAAATATAACACTTTAACACAGTGAAATATAAATTTGGGCAGCACTATATTAATTTATTCCGTCAATTGGCAGGCCCAAAGCTGGATGGAGCATTAGAAGAGCCATCAGATAACTATGTTGACCAAGCGATTAAGTGGAGTACTTGGTTAGCATAACTACGATCGATAATACTAAAAACACGGTTAATGGGATCAGCTTCAGTAACTATAAAAGTCAAGCAAGAGCTGCGAAGATATAATCTGGTCAGTGATTATTATTTTAGAGCACCCAAAACAAGACAACAAACCACTCAAAATGCTTCCAAAAACCGATGGCTGAGGAAATATGTATCAGAAAACATGACGACACGTGGACCTAATCTAGCAATGTATATCTTGAAATCTTGATTGCGATACACTTTCCAGTAACCCTTGCCTATGTACTGGTAAAATATGTACGTTTCAGACGTTGTGGACAAAAATTCAGATGAACAGGCCTATTCTGCTTGTTAGCGAACATTTTGACACCAGAATATTTTGTTACCAAAAAATAACACCACCATTCCGCAATTCAGCGTAATTCAGCGTTTGCATAAATTCTGGTGTTGCATACTTCAAGGGGCTATTGCCTGCTTATGAGATGGTAACGAAATTGGTCAATGCGCAGAATGCGAAAAGGTTTTAAAAATTACCAGGAACTTTATTTACCAGTAACGAAATTTTTGTTACCAACGCAATAGGCCTGGAAGGCGCAAGAACAGGCCATGCGCGCACCGCAAATCCTCATTAATATATATGTATATACATATATATATGTTCATATGTATTACATATACCTGCACACAACTGCTTAACGGTATAATAGCGTGATCTTGAGCGCAAAGCGTAAGCCAGTAGCTAGATTTTGTTTCGGCATCCAAATGAGACAAGGTGCGTATTATACCTGAAAATAAATAAACATTCAATTAAAAAATGTAAATAAGTAAATAAATAAAATCAATAATAAATAATAACAAACGCGAATTACACATGTAGCAGTGTTCAAGCATGATTCAATATCTAATAATCATCGTTGTGTTCAAGAAAATAATTTAAAACTTCCAACAAAAATTCAACTATTTTTCACCAAAATTTCAAAATTATTATTCAGAATTTTTAGAACTATTAGGTAAGNTGTGTTCAAGAAAATAATTTAAAACAGTTTTATAGTCCATTAAATTTGAGTTCAATAAAGCGCAAGTTTCAAGAGGGTAAGAATCCGCGTTGATTTTTAATAACTTTTTGCAAGCTTCAGCAAAAAAAAAATCTCAAAAACCAAAGAAACGAATTTTTATCCACTTCATACCTACACTTATTGTACTATGAATGAAAACTGCATATTCAAAACCTTTCTAAAAATTATGATAACAAAGTTTTAAAGTTTTTTGAAAATTGTTTAAGGCTTGTTGTATTTATGGAAACTTTGGAACTTTGATTCGCATTGCTTTTGCTGTAAAATTAACTACACTGCTGGAACAAAGTATTGGCACAGCAAATTTTTCACAATATGTGCAACAATTTTCATTCTAATATTTTTCTGCTAATTTCATATGGTTCGTTCTACAACAAAAAACATAAACATAATTCCTAAACTTTGTGCAATGCTCGCGAAAATTCAGCAAATTTTCATAAAACTGTTCAACTTTTTAATCAAATTTTTTAGAATCTTTTGAAGTATGTAGATTTGTAGCCCAATCAATTTTATTACAACAAAGTGCAAGTTTTAAGTAGCTAGGAATTACCGTTGATTTTTGGCATTTTTTTTCACGCAGTCTCTTCCACACAAAAAATTTTTTCGAAAATACATTATATGGAAAAAATGCAAAACACCTTCAACAGAAAATGTTTACCAGAATTTAATGGGCTGCAAAACTGCTTACTCAAAAAAATACTAAAAAATCTGATTAAAAAGTTGAAAATTTGCTTAATTTTCGCGAGTTTTGCACAAAGTTTAGGAATTATATTTTTAAGTTTTTTGTTGTTGAATGAACCATATTTTTATACAAAATTGCCGGAAAAATATTAGAATAAAAATTTTTGCATATATTGTGAAAAATTTGCTGTGCCAATACTTTGCTACGGCAGTGTATGTATTTTTTTACGAAAAGCAAATTAAAATTAAATAAAAGGAAATTAAGTTGCCAAAACCTAGCAATACGTCACGCTGCTATATGTATTTGTAAGCACTGCTGGAGATTTCGACTTTATTTAAGCACTCAACTTACCTTCATCGTTCACCGCAAACACTCCCAGCCCATCACCGCCACGTATGCTATAGGAAATCTTCGAATCCGGTCCATTTGTGTCTGCATCTTTGGCAGTTATATTCATTACGAAACTACGCTCCGGCAGATTCTCTTTCACCTTCCCCGTATACACGAAATCATCGAATTCCGGCGCAAACCTATTCTCATTCACATCGATGATCTCAATCACAACTGGCATATCCGTGGTTAGTGAAGGTGTACCGCGATCTATGGCGCTCACAATTAAATTGTGCACCTGCCGTTTTTCATAGTCCAGATAGCCTAAGGTTCTTATAACTCCCGTGTGCTTGTCGATTTTGAATAGTTCCTCAACGACGAGATCCTCTTTTATAGAGAAAAATATTTCACCATTCGGTCCGATATCCACATCAGTCGCTTCGATTGCTGCTACCACAGTGCCGCGCGGTATGTCTTCACGTACTTTGAATATGAATTCCTGTACACCAAATATTGGCGCATTATCGTTGATGTCCTCTACGAGTATATTTATCACTGCTTCGGCGCTGAGCGATGGCTCGCCATTATCCTTGGCTATTATGTGCAATTCATATGTATCCAATTTCTCACGATCCAGCGCGTTTGTCAAATAAATGCAACCTGTAGTGATATTCACGTAAAAATCTCGCGTTTCAGTCTGCATTATGTAGGTTATTTTAGCGTTATTCTCTATATCAGCATCCGAGGCATTTAAGCAAAATATCAATGNAGTTCCCCCGTAAAATGATCTATTTCAAAGGGTACCTCATTCAGATTAGCTATACTATATGATATGTATGCATTCTCGCCACTGTCTCTATCACGCGCTGTCAACTTGACCACAAAAGCGCCAGCCATTTCATTCTCATCCAATTCGATGGTCGTATTCATCGGTTCGAATATGGGATCATTATCATTCATATCCTGTATATTCACTTTCACCTTCGCCGATGATTGTTTACGGAAGCCGAGATTAGCCTGGTCAATGGCAGAGACAGTGAGTGTGTAGAAAGATTTGCTTTCGGCGTCGAGTGTCTTTTGTGTGTATAACATGCCCGAATCGGGATTTATTCTAAACTCACCACCCTCATTGCCGCCCACTATCTCTAAATAGACCATGGCATTCTTACCCAAATCGGGATCAGTCACTTTCAGTCGTATGACAGGCATATTTGGTGGCGATGTTTCGGGTATTGAGATTTCATATAAATGCTTAGTAAATACTGGTGCGTTATTTCGTTCCTTAATGAAGTGTACTGGAATGGTTTTATAGCAATGCCGCATGGGTACGCCCTTATCTTCGGCTCTTAGTGTGAGATTATATTTCATGGAATCATTTAGTCTAGCAAACTTGTTTATTTCTATATAATATTCGCCGATATTAGGCGTGGGTGTGATAATGAAATTCCCATCGGGATCACCATCAACAATTTGTAACTTATTTATTTCGCCATGTTTGCCAGTGTCATTGTCACTGACCTTAACTATACCATAAATATTAGAACTAAAATTCGACGTTATACTGGAAAAAGTCTTAAAATATATTTCTGGAGTGTGTAAATTAACCTGGAATTTGGAAAAAGAGATATAGTGTATAGTAAATTAGCGATACTAGAAGGCAGAGATGTTTTTAAGAAAATATATTAGGTAATTTTTGGCTTTTAGTTTTCAGAAATTAAAAAAAAAAAAACTGAAACATTTCTAAGATATACGAATAGTCCCGAAAAAAAACTCCGCAAAGTCACGATAAGTATGGGAAATGCTGAAAAATTTTGTGGGAACCTAAGAAAATATTTTTCCAAGCCGATTTTGGATNAAAAAAAAACTGAAACATTTCTAAGATATACGAATAGTCCCGAAAAAAAAACTCCGCAAAGTCACGATAAGTATGGGAAATGCTGAAAAATTTTGTGGGAACCTAAGAAAATATTTTTCCAAGCCGATTTTGGAGGGCTGCACACGAAAACAATACCCATTTTTCTTTTCAAAAAAGCGTTTTCGATAATTTTTCGAAAAACGTGTTTTTGGTACTTTTCGCAGCTATTCGTCAATATCTCATGAAAAAATCAACGTAGGCGAACTAAAAATCAAAAGTTATTGATGTACCCATTACAAAAATGTATAATGTACTTTTAAAATTCGATGTAAAATATAAACCACTTCAGTAAATTTTGAGCCTAAGATTATGAAAATCGAATGAGAAATGTAGATGTTAAGAGCGCTGAGTAAAAATTTTATCTTTTGTAAAGGGCACATCAATATCTCTCGAGCCGTAGGTCGTTGGTCGATGATTTTTTCACGAGATATTGACGAATAACTGCGAGAAGTACTAAAAACCACGTAAAAAAAAAATTCTCGAAAAGGATATTGTTTTCGTGTTCAACGACCCAAAGTTTACATGGGAAATTCTCCTTTACAAAGGNCGTAGGTCGTTGGTCGATGATTTTTTCACGAGATATTGACGAATAACTGCGAGAAGTACTAAAAACCACGTAAAAAAAATTCTCGAAAAGGATATTGTTTTCGTGTTCAACGACCCAAAGTTTACATGGGAAATTCTCCTTTACAAAGATTAATTTTTCGTGTAAACTTGTGTAATTAAGCTGTCGAGTTTCTTTAAAAACAAGCCTCACTCTTCACAGATTCATTTCATGTAATATGTTTACATATGTATATGTATGTATTTGGGTCAGTCCATTTCGATTCGACTAATAGTTGGAACCGACCATTTTGATTTTAATGAAAATTGGTTAGAACTTTTCCTTTATCATACAACGAAGTTCTACCAAAGAAAAAAACTTTTCTTTCGAAAGATGCAAAATTCTGTATTTCACAATTTCCGGGACTTTGCAAGTTTAGTGTTTTAATATCTCAAAAATTATTATAGGCCCGAAAATTGCTCTGGTTTCGTTTTTAAGGTGATATTGAAGGCTNGTATTTCACAATTTCCGGGACTTTGCAAGTTTAGTGTTTTAATATCTCAAAAATTATTATAGGCCCGAAAATTGCTCTGGTTTCGTTTTTCAGGTGATATTGAAGGCTATAAAGAAAAAAATATGTAATAAAAAATGCGAAAACCAAAAAAAAAAAATACAGAATTTGAAAGTAAAAAAATTCCAAAAGTTTTAAACTTACTTATAAAAAATTTTGACAAAATAAAATACACTACCACCAACTAATCTTACAAGATTCTGAAATTTTCAAGGTGTTTTTTAAGATACAATTTTTGTACTTTGAATTTTTTTTTGCAAACTCTTGAAGAAGGGTATGTTAAACAAGTTTAATTTGAGTAAATTAAAGTTTGAATATGTACAGCTTTAAAACAACCCCTTGAAAACTTCAGGATATTTTGATACCATTAGAGATATAGTAAAAAAATTGCCAAAAATTTATACACATATGTAAGATTTTGCTTTAACGATTTTTTTTAAATTCCAGAATTAAGTAACATTTTTACTTTTCGAATTTTCCTTAAGTATTTTTTTAAACAACAACCATTTTTGTACCTATAATAGTTTATGAGATATTAAAAAAAAAATTGCCAAATCAGGTAGATTGCGAAATTTTGAACATTCACAAAACATTTATTTTCCTTTGACAGAGCTTCGTTAAATAATAAAAGAAAACTTTCAACCAAAATTTATCCAAATCGAAAATGGTCGACTCCAAACCTTGGTCGATTTGACAGGGATTAACCCATTTTGTAATATCTAACTTCGCCACTTACTTGTTCTACTGTTATGGATACTTTCGCCTTACTCGATTGATGANACAACAACCATTTTTGTACCTATAATAGTTTATGAGATATTAAAAAAAAATTGCCAAATCAGGTAGATTGCGAAATTTTGAACATTCACAAAATCCAAATCGAAAATGGTCGATTCCAAACCTTGGTCGATTTGACAGGGATTGACCCATTCTGTAATATCTAACTTCGCTACTTACTTGTTCTACTGTTATGGATACTTTCGCCTTACTCGATTGATGATTATAATGATTAATGGCAGCACCGCGATCATTCGCAAGCACTGTTAAATTATAATGGGAACTTTCTGTATATCTTAGCTGCCTATTTAACGTAATTACTCCAGTCGTCGGGTGTATCGAAAAGTATTCATTATCGATTAAAAAGCTATAGTAGATTTCGCCATTTATACCCAAATCTGCATCCTCCGCAGAAACACGCAAGATACTCCTGTGTATTGGCATATCTTCCGGCACGATTTGTGAATACTCAATCGGATAGAAGAGCGGACTTAAATCGTTACGATCCAATACACGTATATGTATTGTAGTTTCCGTCTCATCACCCATATAATCATCACCCAGATTATATTTGATCATCGCTCTTACTTTCAACAAATACTCTTCATTCTTTTCACGATTTAGCACAACGTTGCTAGTTCTTGTGCGTATAGCTAGAAATGCAATGTCATCAACTATACGTTCTTCAGCTTTAAATAGCTTATCACGATCTCCTGCTACGATGCGATACTTAACCTCAGCGCCCGGTATAATGGCAATGCCCATTATATCTTCATGTGCCAATGGTATCGCATATGTTTTGCCCACACTATTCTCGGGTATGGTGGCATTGTACAATTTATGTCGGAATTTGTACTTATTATTCAATGTGATATAGTTTGCAGTGCTATGCAGTGATGTTGTCGCTGATGACGCTGCTGCCTCATTACTACTAATGCGCNTACTTATTATTCAATGTGATATAGTTTGCAGTGCTATGCAGTGATGTTGTTGTCGCTGATGACGCTGCTGCCTCATTACTACTAATGCGTTGATGATGATGATGTGCTCGTTGATGTTGTTGCTGTTGCTGTTGCTCGGTTGGTTCGCGGACATCCGTTTTTAGGTAAGTTGGTTGCAAAAGGCAAAACCAAACTAAGATAATTGTCCATGTGGACATGGGCTGCTTTGGAGTCACGAACACTGCATAGCGTTTGATCTTCATATTACAAATACTATAAGCACAAGTTACATGGCATAATCCTGAAATAAAAAGGACATACATACATACATATGTAAATCAGTAAGTCAATTTAAACATAGAGGATTAAGAGCCAGGAATAGCAAAACACTAAAATAGAGCTAAGAGAATCTTAAAAAAATAAACCGTACTTTAACTACAGCTTGGAGAGATATCTTCCAACTTGTTTAATTGTCGGTATACTAACGGATTTTTTGGGGTAAATTACCGTTCAATTTCTACAAGCGTGAGATTTTAAATCACTATATCACTGAATTGCTGTTTAATTAAAATATATATGATATGGTTCGCCACTTATGTTTAATTATTTATTTTAAAAAACTTCCAACTAAAATACAGTTCATTCTCTCACAAAACCCGTATAAACTCAATAGTAGGAGAGCCAGTTACATTTTTTCGTCATTATTTAGTTAAGGCCTATTTTAAGTGACTAAAAATTACAGCTGATTTATTAGATTTTTTTTGTCGTATATGAAAGAAAAACGCAAAAGCTTCGGCAAAAAAAATCTAAAAAATTACGGTAATTTTTTCCCCAAAAAACATGACTAAAATTGAATGGGCTATAAAAATGTGTACTCAAAAAAATTCTAACACTTCTGAGAAAAAAGTTTGAAATTTGGGTGAAAATTTGTTCCATTTTTTTTTTTAACTTAAGTTTTGTTAGAGAATGAACTGAATTTTAATGGAAATTTTAATGAAATTTTTTTGCATTTTTTTTTGTAGTGTTCTACAAAGTTTTAAACTTAGGTTTTGCTAGAGAATGAACTGAATTTTAATGGAAATTTTTTAAAATAAGTAAATAAACATAAGTGGCAAACAATACTTTAATAAAAACTTTGAAATGGCGTGCTATAGATATGACCGATACTGTACATATGTGGTAACATTTCAATTTTAAACTCAGCATTTTGCTTATAAATCACTTCCGAATATAAATTTTCTGATGTATACGAATACATATGTATATATACCACACCAATTCATTTGGTATATTTCTTCAAAAATATTCCCCTGAAAGCTAGTCTAAGTCTAAGAAACTCATATTTTTGGTCGGGGAAACTGTCCCGTCTCTGAGGGATATGTTATTGGTAGAACAGATGAGCGACGACACTCTCATCAGAATGACAGCTCTTTTTTCAGCTCGCTAGATATACAAATAGCTATCGCTGGTATGATAAATAGCATTACGTCACGACCGATGCAATCGCTGGCAACGAAGCATCAGCACCTTTTCGCACGATGCATAAACCTACCGACTTTTGTTCTGCAGAACACTACGTAGATTTTCCTATACATACGTGTACATATGCTCTTGGATTGCAATGGGGTATAGTCGTTGCGCTGGGTATGCAGTTACAGTTGCATGGCTATACTCAATCCCGACTCTTGCATCCTCGTTCGCGCACTCTAGGCAACGTGAGCAACCCATGTGCGAGATGCAGTAACTAATCCGAGTGATGCCTTGGGTCACGGCAGAAAGAGAGGGAGCTTCGGTGGGGCCACTCCGACTTATTCTGTTTAAGGGCTCACTGAAGTCTGCAGCATCTGTTCACCAGTAGGTGCGGCTGCAAGCGGGTGTCTGCTTGGGGCAAGCGGCTCGCTATACAAACGTGTATTTGATTGCGAAACCACCCCCGTCCAAGCAATGGGTTGTGGGCTGGGTTTGGGACCAGCCACGTAAAAACCACTTCCAGTGAAGAAGCAAGGCAAAGCCTCGGATGAGACCGCCCCTTATGATGACGACCACGGCAAATGTTTAAAGGACTACGATTTGAGGGCATGCACCTGGAATGTCCGGACCCTTAATGGGGAAGGTGCCTCTGCNTCAATCCCGACTCTTGCGTCCTCGTTCGCGCACTCTGGGCAACGCGAGCAACACATGTGCGAGATGCAGTAACTAATCCGAGTGATGCCTTGGGTCACGGCAGAAAGAGAGGGAGCTTCGGTGGGGCCACTCTGACTTATTCGGTTTAAGGGCTCACTGAAGTCTGCAGCGTCTGTTCACCAGTAGGTGCGGCTGCAAGCGGGTGTCTGCTTGGGGCAAGCGGCTCGCTATACAAACGTGTATTTGATTGCGAAACCACCCCCGTCCAAGCAATGGGTTGTGGGCTGGGTTTGGGACCAGCCACGTAAAAACCACTTCCAGTGAAGAAGCAAGGCAAAGCCTCGGATGAGACCGCCCCTTATGATGACGACCACGGCAAATGTTTAAAGGACTACGATTTGAGAGCATGCACCTGGAATGTCCGGACCCTTAATGGGGAAGGTGCCTCTGCCCGGCTGGTTGATGTCCTCGTAAGCAAGGTAAGCAATGTCTGGGGCCTTGCGACGTCTACTACAGTTGCCACGTAAAGGAGCGCAAATTCGGAGCTGGATTTGTGGTGGGAGAGAGACTCCGTCGTCGAGTACTGTCGTTCACCCCGGTGGACGAGCGTCTAGCCACAATCCACATCAAAGCGAGATTCTTCAACATCTCGCTCATCTGCGCACATGCCCCGACGGAAGAGAAGGATGAGGCATCCAAGTATCTCTTCTATGAGCGCTTGGAGCGCACGTACGAGCGCTGCCCATGTCATGATATCAAAATCGTGCTTGGCGACTTCAATGCGAGGGTGGGCAAGGAAGGGATCTTTGGAACCACCGTCGGAAAATTGAGCAGTGGAACCACATTTCACGCTCATTAAGTACCGCCGCCGAAGAAGTAGTCGGATTTCAGCGAGCCCGAAAGAACAACTGGTACGAAAAGGAGTATCAGGAAGCTGCAGAGAAAAAAGGTGTCGCCTACAGGGCCACGCTGCGATCGGGCGCAACGTGCGCGATGTGACACCGCTATAGGGATCTGAAGAGTGAAGCGGGACGTATTTGCCGAAATAAGAAGAGAGGGGCCGAAATACGTGAGTGCGAAGAGCTTGAAATGCTGGCCGTCAGGAAGAATCCCCGAAAATTTTACTAGAGAGTTAGGCGACCGACGGAAGATTTCAAGACCAGGGCGTACTACCGTAAGAACAACAATGGCGACATAGTAACCGATGTTCAGAGCGTACTTAAATTATGGAGGCAACACTTCTCCGCCCTACTGAATAGTAGCAGCACGGAAAGTTGTGGAGAAGAAGAACCCGAGCCGGCAGTCGATGATGACGGAGTCGACGTTCCACCGCCTGATTATGACGAGGTACGAATAGCAATAACGCGGCTGAAAAACAACAAAGCTGCTGGAACTGCCAGCCTGCCAGCTGAGCTATTCAAGTACGGCGGCGAGGAGTTGATAAGGTGCATGCATCAACTCTTGGTCAGAAGAATGCATGCCCGACGACTGGAATTTAAGTGTGCTCTGCCCAATCCACAAGAAAGGTGATCCCGCCATTCGCGCCAACTACCGCGTGATCAGCCTTCTAAGCATAGGTTACAAGGTCTTATCGAGCATATTGTGTGAAAGACTGAAGCCCACCGTCAATGAACTGATTGGGCCTTATCAGTGTGGCTTTAGGCCTGGCAAATCCATCATAGACCAGGTATTTAAAGTACAATACCACGTATCAAAAAAATTTAAAACCGCGTATGCGAGGTTGCATAAATTATTTTCTATAGAGTAAAAATACTCATATTTCTCTGTTTTATAAAGCAATCGCATTTATGGCTAGTATATTTCAGGACGAATGGATATGGGGATTGAGCCGCGAGCTTGTATGAGGAAGTCCAATTTTTGGCAGCAAATGTCAGTTACGCGGCTTTGCAGAATGACGATACGCGGTTTTGTACTTTAAACGACGATATATTTGGTAGAGCTTGAAGCGTTACTATAGCGCAATTAAGTTCTGGATTCTTTAGAAGACGAAATTCCTACTTATACAGAATAACTAGAATCACAATCAGACATACTTTCTTAAAATATGGGTACCTTGTTAAGGAACCACAAAGTATTTAGTGTAGCGATTTTCTGGTAAAAGCAAGCGCAGTTAAAAAAAAACTTGTAGTAACAAAACATTTGTACTCACTTACATATATATGTACATAAAAATACATATGTATATATTTGAGCTGACATATGTACGTAGATATGTACACTTATGAACCTACTTGAGTTAAACAAAAAATATTATTTTTGTAAATGCAAAGTAACTCAACCCTCTTTTTATTGTTTTCGACCCAGAATTCAGCTAGCCTAAGCAAATCAATAGTGAGCATAAAGGGTATTGTACATAAATATGTATAAGTATGTATGTACATAAAAACAGATGTACATAGATAAATGAATACATACATATATTAGGGGCATGACTTCATCCATTCGTTTATTTGCACATAAATGGTAAAGTATATAAATATTTAAGATAAATTGTGCATTAGTATTTTTTCGTCTTACAAATTGCATTAACTGGCCTATTCGAAAAATTCCAAAATTGTATTAACAAAAAACCTGAAACAGGCACTTCGTTACCGATTACAAATATTTTGTTACCAGCGCAAAATAGACATGTAAAAGAAATAAGTTTTAAAAAATAAATTTTGTTTATTCGATGTGATACTTAATTTCGTCTTGTAGATTTTTAGTGAGAACACATTTTATTATTTTTTGCCATTGAAACCGAATCACGCCCGAGTTAACTTCAAACTGACTGAATTCAATTCATTTCATCACTTGGCGGGACTTTCCCAAACTTCAATCAGCCTAAACCAGCCCTGGGCGGCGCCTGACCGCGGGGCATATTCTGCTTTAGAAGGCAGCGAAAGCTGCATTCAACCGCACGACTAGTTCGCACGCACACAGTGACATCAATTGCACGCACACTACAAAAATGCTCTGCCCAAGCTGCCCACCTCTGGTCTAAATCCTGGCTACACAGAAGGCAAGTTTGATGAAAAATCACCCGAAACAATCTAGTACAGTCTCACTCGCCTCCATTCGACCAAAACGAGGAGAGAACAGCAAGAAAGCGGCTTAAAAACAATAGACGACGGTATACCGGTTCAGCTCAGCCGGCTAGCCGGCGGCGTAGAGCTGGTGTGACGCAAGTACGAACTGTTAAG